GCCCAGGGTAGTCTCTTCCCCTTCTTCATGCCTCAGTTTTCCTACTTTTAAAGTGAAGGGATCAGATGTATTGACTATCCAGGCCTTTACAACACTGGGTGCCAAGAGCCCTAGTCTCCCCATGAGATCGAAGTCAGAAAGATGGCCAGGTCCACCATCTCCCAAGTCTGTATTTATTTATTTTGTTCCCCAGACAGAGTCTAAGATGCCAATGAGACCACGGCGGTGCAGAGAAGTGGGTCTGTGGCTCCAAGGAGGGAGGGTGGGCTGTGTTCCCAGCAGCTGCCAGACCAGTGTCAGCAACAGACGGAGCCCTCATTGTCTGACCCCAAAGAGGCACACCCTGTGCATGTGATTCCTCTTACATGGAGACGCCCCTTTGTGCTTGGGGTTAGGAGTGCCTGTGCTTTTGGCAAGAGGCAGGCAATGGCTGTAAAGTGAAGTAAAACCCATATGGGTCTCATCAGTTTTAGTCCGCCGTACGGACTTCAAGAAATACTCCCTCTAAGTGATTCTGGCACAAACAAAACTGTCGTGGGGCAGGACTGGGAGGCTCTCACTTAACCCTCTAGATTGTAAGTGAGAGTTTTGTCAGTTGACTAGTTCTGCGTGTACGGCATAACCTCTTAGAACTGACATGCTATCACCAGTTAAAGGAGGGAGAGCCTTCTCTGCTTTCTAAAGCACAAAGCCATCAGCTGTCCTGGCATTAGCATCTGACAGACAGGCTCTGTGCCCCAAGCCTTCCGTCCTGCTGATGAGTTACATTCTTATGGGTTATTTTTAAACTGTTCTTTTTCATAAATTAAAAACCTCATATACATGAACAATAAAGATTCCCTTTCTCTGACACCCATCCACCCAGATCTCTTTCAAGCCCCTACAAATAAGTCTTCACCTAGGTTTCATATCTGTTGTTGTTTCGTGCTGTGGAGTCAGTTAGGACACACAGCAACCCTGTTTCCAAGGAGCAGCTGTTGGGTTTGAACCACTGACCATGTGGTTAGCAGTCCAGTGCTTATCTTATAGCGCAACACCAGGACTCCCTTGCACACATGTGGTTAAGTGTTGTCAAGTTAGTTCTGACTTGTAGTGCCTCTGTAAAGGGTTTCTGAGGAGTGACTGGTAGCTTTGACCCCCTGAACTCGTGGTTGGCAGTCTAGCACCACATGATATAGTTTTCTTTGCTTCTCTATGTGGGTACAAGTACAAATATGTTTCCCTTAAAATGCTGTCATACATAGAGTATTCTAGCTTGGGGTTTCTCCATCTAACTATTCATCCTCATTTTTGTGAAAACCTAAAAGATTAGTATGCTTGTAATTACCTGGTAGGGTAGCGTTTCCGTCTCCATCAGCTGACACGGTTACTTTGTGGATCGCTTACCTGTGGCAGAGCCGCACGTGGCTTATTCTTGTGGTTTTAGGTGCTCCCTGCCCCCCCACTAGAAAGGAACCCCAGCAGCATCTATGGAAGTTTCACAGAACAGTATGCATGTGCTATGTTTGGAGTCCTGGTGTGGCACTGTGGGTTAACGCCCTGGACTGCAAAGGCACTTTGAACCGTAAGGTCGGCGGTTCAAGCTCACCGGCCTGCTCCTCGCAGAACCCAGTCAGCGGTGCTTAACAGCAACATATTTGTAGCACACTCAGTTTGGTAGGTGATTGTCAAGGCTATCAGTGATTAGCCCTTAGGTGAATAATGTCTTCAAAGTTTCCTTTCTATCCTTGTTTTCCAGGGGAACCAATGACTTCACAAACAGGAACACTCCGTTGCTGACCTGGAATTCTGGGGAAACTGTTTGCTGCTGTGGTCCCCACGCAAATCTCTCTTAGGTCCACCACTGGCACGTGTCCCTCTTACTTAACAGTCACCCTCATGGAATGGAAGTCAGGAGAAGTGCTGTCTTAGTAAACCATTTATTTTGAAATACTCCAGAGAAAAGACAGTTCTGAATAAAAGCCAGAGCAGGGAAAGGGCCGACTGTGTCGTGTTTTCCTCTGTGTAAGCGGCACAGGACATGGGAACTAGCGAGATTGCCCTAGTGGGAACACAGGCCCCTTAATTGCTGACTCTGCAAGGCACTGTGTGTGAAGTGGAGTCTATGAGATTTCTTTCTTCCCTGAACTCGAAGGAATTACAGTTGTGGGTGTGGGGCTTGGTGCCCTGGGGGGTATTTTCTCATGTTACCATTCACTCATGGAACAATGTGGCAGTTCTGTGCTGAGAGTGCCTGCTCTGTGGGAGCCCCTGCTGAGCGCCTGAGGTGCCTGCTTGCTCTTCAATGGCTTCAAGCTCCTGTGCTGTCCCAGATGAGCAGGGCACGTGAGCGCTTGGTCCTGGGTTCAAGATCGGACTCTGCGAGGCCTCAGGAGTGTGAAGCCCAGAATCCACAGTGTGGGTGCAGGGGAGTCATTGGTGTGTGCTGACCCTGCTCCACAGTTCCTGGTAGCATAGGCCTGAACTGCATTTGGAGTAAGATAGGTGTGAGCTGTGGGGAAGTAGAGGCGATGCTAGATTGTCTCATTTGCTCAGACCAGCAGCAGTGAGATGGGCTGCTCAGTCCCTGGGAGCAGGAAGAGGGCAGTGGGTGGGCAGGATAGTTGTAAATGATGATGACTGTGCTCTGCTTGAATTGGGAAGGGATCCTGATGTGTGGGGTCCCCTTCTCCCCTTCCTCCACACCCTTCCTAGGGCCTGACCTTGTTGAGCGTTTGTAAGGAGTCTCTGGCCGGAGGTGCCCGGCAGGGTCAGACTGCAGACTGGCTGCACAGCCAGGCCACTGGCTCAGATGGGCGTGGGGAACAATGGCTGCCACACAGTGCTGGCTGCCCTCACCCTCCTCCTCGTCAGTTCTCTCCTGCAGCAGAACAGCACACCCCATAGTTTTGCAGCTTGAAATCAGGATTTCGTCATTTCTCATGAGACTGTAGATCTGGAATTTGGGCTCAGCTGGATGATTGCTCTGCGTGGTGTCCACCGAGCCACCTGGCGGTCCTCAGAGCTGTTTCCTTACGGTGGGGTAGGAGTCTCACATGCTCTGAGCTCTTCAGTCTCTTCTCCGATACAGGACTTGTGCACACTGCCTCCCGTTCGGGTCTCGGAAGCACAGAAGTTGTACTTTTGATGAAGTCTAGTTTCTCTTTGTGTTTTTTGTGGCTTGTCCCTCTGGTGTCATTTAAGAAGGAAGCTTTGGCACAACCCAGAGTCCCAAAGATTTACTCCTTCGTGTTTACTTCTAAGAGATTAATTGTGTTTGCTCTTAGATATCTTAGCCCTTTGGGGTTCATTTTTGTGGGTAAGGAAAAAGCACCAGTATTTTTTATTAGTAGTAGTGTGATTTGGATGAAAGTTTACAGAACAAAATAGTTTTCCATTCAGCCATGCATCTACATTTTGTTTGGTGACATTAATTCCCACGATGTATCAGCACTCTTTCCACTTCCTCCCGGGATTTACCATTTCCAGTTGTCCTCCTTTTCTGGCCCTTCCTGCCGTCTGAGCTTTATCTCTGGGCACACACTGCCCTTTTGCTCCCGTATTGTTGGTTGTTCTAAAGAGTGTTATTGTTCCCTGGTGTGACTGTTCACCTTAAAGGCCTGTCTGTCATTTGGCGGAAAGATGAGCCAAGTTCCCTTTCAGGCCCATCATCGCGTCTGTGTGACCAGTAAGCCTGGTCTCTGGATGACTTTGAGTTTTCTTGGGCATTGTTCCCTCACTCTATCCAGGACCTCCTAGTGTGGTTGCTTTGAGAGCTGTCAGCAGTGGTACCTGACACCATCTCATTCTTTGGGTCCCAGGGTCGTGGAGGTTGGGGTTCACTGGCCCTAGTCCTTAGGACTAACTGTTTTCTCCTCGTGTCTCTGACTGTCTTCACTTCGCTTTGCTCTGCCTGGGGACGGACAGCAGGAGTTGTGCACCAGTGGCTTTTTGGTGCTGCTTTACTCTTTTGAAGTCTGCTTGCCTGCTTCCTGTGAGCTTTGCACGCTGAGCACTCTCCCGTTAACACTCTTGCTAATGCCTGAGGCTTCCAGACTGTTTCTGATCTTGTCTCTTGAGCTTTCCCTTGTATTTCATTCAAAACATGTCTGTCTACACCCTGGTTGTGTGCTGAACTGCTGCACCCTCTCCTCAGTTTCTCCTTTTCCAGTATATGTCTCTTCTAGTGCCTTCTCCTTTCAGGGTCTCAGCTCCCATCTCTGTGCTGCTGACCCCCAGCCCACTGCCACACTGAGCCAGTCTCTCCTGTCCAGTTTGTATCCACCTCTCCCCAAAGTGCGGACCATGCCTGGCTGATGTTTATGGTTCTGGTGCCCAGCACGGTGCTTGTGCCTCTGTAGTGCTGAACGTGTCATTCAACGGTTTGTAGCAACAGAAATCAGACTGTTTGTATGATTCGTAAATGTACTTTGACATCCTTTCAAATAAAGATTACAATTAAAAAGACTGTGAAATAAGGTGCCATATTAGCCTGGCATCGTTTTAGGTTGGCCATCCACCTGCCATTGTTGCTGATGTTGGCGAGGAGCATGTCCCATGCTTACATGGTACATGGTTACAGATGTGTGAGCAGCTCGCCTGTGGGTCACCTGTACAAGGAGTCATTCGCAGAACCACTGGTAGTGCATTTTTGGAGAAAAAGTCAGAAATCCAGTTTCTCTAGAAATGGCCTGTGCTACTGTTAGCAGGTCCTGTCTGTGTGCTCAGACGTCTGTAGTACCGAGTCCTTTATTGTTTCATCAGAAGACACAATGGCTTCAGTACATTGAGCTCCTTTTGTTGGCTCAAGACAAGCGTTGCATTGGCTTGTGGCAGCGTGGGAGTCATCTGGTCAGTCTTGACCCCATGCGTCCACACAGCAGCCTCCCACATCACGTTTCCACGGGGGTGACCCAGAGCGCGCTCACGTGGCAGAGTCTGTTGACTAGGCTGTCGTGCTGGCTCTGTGAGACACTGGTGGGCATTGACTCAGGAACAATCCTCCCTTTATCTTGTTCTGCAGGAGCCGAGAGAGACTCTGCAATGAATGGTGACACTCGAGCTGCCGTGGTGACCTCACCACCGCCAACCACAGCCCCGCACAAGGAGAGATACTTCGACAGGGTGGATGAGAAGAACCCAGAGTACCTGCGAGAGAGGAACATGGCGCCAGACCTCCGCCAGGACTTCAATATGATGGAGCAAAAGAAGAGGGTGTCCATGATCCTGCAGAGCCCAGTAAGAGCAGAGCTGCTGCTCTGTCCAGTGTCCTCCTCCTCCTCCCTGCTGTGTGAGCCCAGGCGATCGGGGCCTTGCTGTGGTGACTCAGGGACTCCAGGCACCATTAGAAGCTGCCGTACGGTTCTCTAGACTGTCATCGTATATGGGAGGGAGCAGGTTACCAAGTCCTTTCTCCAGCAGAGTTGCTGGATGCCTTCCAGCTGCCCACCTCTTGGCTAGCAGCCAAGGCTTAATCGTGGTTGCCACCAGAGCTCCGTTAAACAAACAAAATGCCTCAGCCATCAGTGACTCAGAACAACCCTCCGGGACAGATGGAAGTGCTCCCTAAGGGTTCCAAGGTTGTCAGTCTTTATGGACGCACACTGTCACGTCTTTGTCCCGTGGAGCACCTTTTAGATAAGGCCCAGTTCTTGCACCACACCACCAGAGCTCCCAGGTTTCCTTTCTTGTTGGTATTGCATACTGTTGAGCCTGTTCTGATTCCTAGTGACCCTGTGTAGGGTTTCTGAGGAGCGCCCGGTGGGTTTGAACTGCCGACCTTGTTAGCAGTCCTACAGTGCTACTCCAGGACTGTGCTAGGGTTCCTCTAGAAGGTGTTTATTTTCCCTTTTTAAGCTGCTGCTACTTTTCCAGAGGGCTTTCTCTACTGGGCTGCAGGAGAAGATGAGGCTGGCTACTCCCCTTGAGACTACAGCCTGGAAACCCTCCTCTGTTGTCTAGGGTCACTGCAAGTTGGAATTGACTTGGGCTTGGTGTTTGCTTATAGACTGGGGCCATTGCAAATCCCTGGCATGGTGGTGGCCACATAGTGGGCTCTACCAGTACCTGCTTATTGTTGGAGCCACAGGGATGCCCGTGGGTGTCTTGGCCGTGTCTCAAGGGAGAGCAGAGCAAGCACAACAGTGACATGCTAGTAAGCACCGTCTGTCCAACTGGATGGTGATGCGTCACTCAGATTATCTAATAAAGGCTCAGTCTTGTAGGGTTTCTTTTTTGTGACATAAGTAATTCTAAAATATGCTGCTTGTTTCAGAATAGATACTCATGTCTTGATTCATTTACTTTTAGCTCTTTTCTGCGTTTAGATATACATTTAGTATTCTAAAAACTGGCTATTGTTCTGTACCTTTTAAATTCAATATACCAAGAGCCATTTTATGTCATTTCAGGTTGTTTCCATGTATTTAATCTTTTCTTGTTTGTAATGTTGCCTGTTTCCCTTTTATCAGTAATGCTGGCAAGAGCACCCGTATCAATAAATCTTTGATAAAGAGCATATCCCTGATATTTCTTTAGAATAAAATTTCTAGGAATAGAATTCCTGTCCAGTGATTTAAGTCGTTTATGGTTACATTGCTTTCCAGGAAAGAATGTACCCGTTTATATTATCAGTAGCAAAGTCTAAAAGTAGCCATTTCCGTTTCTTGAGCTGGATTTGAAGCTTCGCAGACATGATCTCTGATGGCTCTCCAGCTAACTGATGACACGGCGTCTCATGGTTTGAATTTGTCCTTTACTAGGCGTTCTGTGAAGAATTGGAGTCAATGATACAGGAGCAATTTAAGAAGGGGAAGAACCCCACCGGCCTGTTGGCCTTGCAGCAGATTGCGGATTTTATGACCACTAACGTCCCGAACGTCTACCCAGCAGCCCCGCAAGGAGGGATGGCAGCCTTGAACATGAGTGAGTGGTTCCTGACTAGTTAGATGTGCTTGTGGTCTGATGCCCTGGAGCCTTCTTATGTGCAGTGCGGCCGTCCAACTGTGGACTGCCCAGAATTGCGTCTTTTGAAAATCAGTGTGTTTCAGTTGTAGCAACATGGAGAGTGACGCCTGAGAGTATCCTGAAAGTAGAGGGCAACTTGTTGATGAGCCGGTGAGACTTGTTTTTTCCAGGCCAGTGACTGCTCTGAGGTGGTGTCTCAGACTCTCTGTGAACTGCAACAAGAAATGAAGCGGAAACAATGCTGGCTGAGTCCTGTGAGTTTTACCTGGATGAATTTCAGCCAGACCAACACTACTCATGGCTTCTTGCGAACAACTGTTGCTGTTGTTATAAAGTGCCATCGAGTTGGTTCAACTCATAGCAACCCTGTCTAGGGTGGTGGGTTTGAACTACTGACCTTTCAGTTAGCAGTCCAGTGCTTACCCTGTATAGCGCCACACCAACTAGTGAGAAACAAATGCCCAGAGAAAACGTTGGCTGGCCTAGCTTTCAGCATCCCAGTAACCTGTAAATCACCGTAGCACAACAAGCTGACAAAAAGACAACAGAGAAACCTAGTTAGTTTTCATTGTAGCTGACAGTTTGGTTCTCAAACAATACCATATAACCAGAAAATGGCACCGAACAAATGATGTCTAGGTTCTAAGTAATTATAAGGCGAACGGTACCACCACCAGATCAAGGAGTAAGGGTCTCCGTCACTTGCTCTAACTGCCCACCTGCAGTCCTTCTTAGGAACTGTCGTCTTGAGTCTGTATGGATCACTCCTTTGCTCTGCTTTTGAGTTGTATCATCCAAACATTTCTCCCTAACTCATGTGGCCTCACTCTTATCTGTGTGCTGAATGTCTCTCAAGTATTTTTCAATCCACGAGGTACCCTTCATCTCTCTCTTTTGAAACGCTGTCGCCACGGTGCAGTGAGCACATTCCTTGGTAACTTGTATTTCCGAGAATGTGGTGGCTGGGTCAAATTGAATCACGATTTTGGGCGTCATCTGCTTCATAGTTGGTGCAGTATTCCTCTGCTAGGATGCCCATACATCTGGCTGTCTGTCTCTCTGTGTGTGTTAGCAGCCGTGGCTGACCAGTACCATGACCCATCTGTCAGCTTGTTCTCTGGTGACTTGTGTTCCTTTGAAGCTGTGTCACCAGTATTTCAATTACCAGCAGGGTCACCCATGGTGGACAGGTTTCAGCAGAGCATCCAGACTCAGACAGACTAGGAAGAAAGGCCTGGTGATTTACGTCTGAAAAATTGAAACCTGGACTCAGACCTGCTAGCGGTTTTTACGTAGGCACAGGATTCGGTATTGGTAATACTTGTTTTGTTGTTACATGCGGGGACTTCAAAAAGTTCATGGAATTTATCCTTGAATTTTTTGAAGTCTCCTACCATACCAGCTCTGCTAGCATCATGCTTACAAGTCAGGCTGCTAACCTTAAGAACAGCAGTTTGAAACTATCACGGGAGAAAGATGAGACTTTCTGCTCCCGTAAAGCTCTAAACCCTTGGAAGCCCTATGCAGGGTTACTATGAGTCGGTACTAACTCCACAGCACACCACCACCACCATGTACCATGAGTGGGAGCTGACTGCAGCAGCTAACAACCACACAGTTAATTTACGAAAGCTCCAAGACGGGGTCTTCCCATTCCGTCATTCCTTCTATATTTATTAACTGGAATATTTTGATAAAGAGAAACTTCCCTTCACCTGTTTCAGAAAGGCAGGATAAATGCAGGATTTTTCTCTTTATGGGTTAAGTGCTCAGCGGCTAACCAAAAGGTTGGGTGTTCGAATCCACCCAGCGGTGTCCTGGGAGATAAGCCTGACCATTTGCTTCTGAAAAGTCAGTGAAACCCACGGAGCATGCTCTGCTCTGACACACGTGGGTTAGAATCAATGCTTTGGTAACTGGTTTTGTTTTTTTTGTTTTGTTTTTTAAAGCGTTTTCATAATAATGATTTGACGTCATCTTGCAGAGGTGGCCAATTCAATGTTTTCCTCATAGCGTTTTGAATTCTTGGATTTAAACAAAACTGAACGTGTGTGACATCGTCACAGTTATTTTCCTTTTTGATGGTCAGAGTGTCCTGTGTTGGCCTCCACAAGTAGGACAGCTTCCTGCTGACCCCCATAGTGAGCCACTCTAGTCCGTCCCACCTCGTATGTCCCTGCCCTTCCTCTAGGAAACCTGGACTTCTGTTTGTGGAAAATGTAATTTCACTTGGGCCTGTTAGGTATGCTTATGCCTTCTGGACCTTGGTAGTAGGTAGAACTAGGACACGTGTTTATATTTTAAAAGAAAAAATGCCCCATAAGTTTTAATGGTATTTTTTATTTAAATTCAGTACCAAGAAGTTTTTCCTCAGAATTTTTTTTTCTTTTTCTACACCAAGAATTTGGGTTGTCCAGGATATTGTGAATGACAGAGGTAGAGTATTCCATAATGACTCATTTACTCCCCCCACCACATACACACACACACACACACACACACACACACAATACCAGCAGAGCACCCAAGACTCCAACACAGTGATAGCTGACAATGAAATGTTTGCAACCTTCTCGCCGCATTCTCTGTTATTGTTGTTAGGTGCCATCAATAACAGCAACGCATCGGGACTAATGGAGCCGTACAATCAGATGCTTATTACTTTTTCTTCTCTACTGTGTGCTTGTTTGTTTAGTTTTTTTCCTGGCCTTGTTGCAGTAGCTGGGAGGCAGTACAGGACCCAGTGAGAGTGGGTGGCATTCGGGACCTCCTGTCTCTCATCCGTGTATTGATGTTGTTAATTGCCGTTGAGTCGGTTCCTACTCATAGCAACCCTGTATAGAGTTTCCAGGGAGCAGCTGGTGGGTTTAAACCACCGACCTTATAGTTCAAACCGACCTTGAAGGCCATTGCTTATCCTACAGAGCCACACCAGGACTCCAAGATGACAGTGGAGATTATGAATAGGTTTCATGGCCAAATGAGTTTTGGAGCCTTCGTAGAAAGAACTGTAACATTTTAGATCTATTTGGATTTTGGAATTCTGACAAAGAATGAGGAGCTGGAGGTGGAGAGAGAGTAATGATTTGCCTGGCAGACATTGCACTAGCTTGCCTCCAGTGTGCCTTTTGGGAGCCGGGAGTCTGGAGCGACTGCAGAATTTGGGAGTATGCACTTTGTTGCTGATTTCCGACCTAATTACATAGACGTTCGAGAACATGGGCTTTCAGAGGCAATCCTTGCCAGTTCTGAGACTTACTCCATGGCCTGGCGTGGAGATGACACGTAGCACCACCCTCACTGATTGACAAGGTTGCTGGGACAAGGTGAGGCTGGAGCTTTGCTTTTCTTCCTTTCAGGTCTTGGCATGGTGACACCTGTGAACGACCTGCGAGGATCGGACTCAATTGCATATGACAAAGGGGAGAAGTTACTGCGCTGCAAACTGGCCGCCTTCTACAGATTAGCAGATCTCTTCGGGTGGTCTCAGCTCATTTACAATCACATCACGGTGCGTGTTAAGTGGTGTCCTCACCAAACAAGACCTGGAAAAGTGCATGTCCAGCACCACCTCCTTCCATGAGGCAGGCAGTCTGTGTTGTGGAAACGTGGAAATCTTGAACCATTTTCTGTTCTAAGCACGAGCCAGTGTGGGTTACAAAGTTACAAGAACATGAATTCTTGAAAACGTCTTTCTTCTTGCGTGCTGACTTTACAGGCATTTGCCAATCTGTAAGCAGTTCCTAAAATTCTGTCCTACTCTGACCAGAGCCCTCTCTCTCTCACACCTATTTTCTCAGCATTACCAGGACCTCTGTTTCCTAAAATGAATCCTGTCACATGGGTCTGCTTTCTCACTGACCAGCATGACTCTAAGCTCTGGGGCACTCACAGCAAGCTAGATCAGTCCTGCCCTCGGGAGGCATTGGCGCTGTTTGTCCCCTGCCTTGTCCAGCTTCAGTTCCTGGCCTGGCAGTTCATCCTCTCCAGTCCCTTGTCACCCCTCCCTCCATCCAGGCAGCCAGGGGCTTTAGGAGAGGGCCTCCCAGCAGAGCCCTCAGCTGTCTCCCCAGTCCCATTCTAACACTCCGGAGGGCATCGTTCTTAGATGAAGGGACTTCAGAAAGTTCATGGACAAAAGGAAGGAGAAGATAATGCAATTTTTCCATAAATTTGTTTGAAGCCCTCTCCTACTATCCATGGTTTTGATGAGCCTGGCCTCCGTGGTCTCTTCACAACTCCCTTTTGTAGTGGGTGAACACATTTGGCGGCATCTATACTGTTCTGTACAACGTCTGACCTCCGCCCTATGGCCGCACTCTACTTTCAGAGTTGGAACCCTGTCCCCTCTGGCCTTCCTGCTTCCAAACCTTCTGGTTGCTTTTAAATTCTGTTGGAGTTAGCCTCTTTTGGGGAGCTGTTTCCTTCCTTTGACTGTAAGCTAGTTCTCATCTCCTGTTTTCTTACTGGGTATTTTAAGTTATAAACATGTTCTTAGGTACCGTTAGGTCGGTTCTAGCTCCTAGTGACCCCACAGCGCTTAAGCCCATTGCTGTGTTGCTATTCATAAGGTTTTCATCTTCAGGCCCTCGATCTGACAGTGTTCCGCTGCTGTTCAGAAGGTTGTCAGTGGCTGACTTTTCAGAAGTGGTCAACCTCGCTTTCTTCCTAGTCTGTCATAGTGTGAAGCCTGTCCACCATGGGTGGCATAGCATCACAGCAACATTTAAGCCACCACAGGATGACAAGCTGACAGGCGAGTGGTAGAAGTTATGAATATGGTATATGCTTATCTCAACAAGTGATACCTCTTTGGGTTGATAAAGGAAGCATCCTAAGCCTGTCTCTCTTGAGGCAGCCAGTTCCAACAGCTGTGAGGATTTGCCACCCTTTTTTCCATGCACCTACACACATGTGCGCACGCATGCACTCTCACACACACTCACTCACACACACACACACACACACACACACACACACAGACTTTCCAGAGCTGGCCACATCACCAGCTGGTACTTAGCTTAGCTCTGTTCTAGACTCCAAAAGGGCATGTTAGTTCTCCTGAGGGGCAGGTCCAGGGCCTGTGCATATGTGTTGATAGTTCGACTTCTACATGGGATGGGGAGCTGGCCCCTCTCTGTCTTCCACCCTGCTGTAGGCCTGGCCCTGGCCCCAGCCCTGCAGGCGTGCTGCACACTGCTCTTGTCTGAGTGTCATCCCCAGCAGCACGCCCGACACCAGTCTCTGCCCCTCTCTCATTGGCAGCTGCCCCCAGACCAGGAATGGTGCCTGGCATGTAGGAGTAGTAAGTCTTTGTTGGGTGAACAATTGCCTGACATTCCATCTCTGTGAAATTGTCACATTAGAACTCCCTAGTATCTCTGACATGTGACCAGTAGAGCCAGTTGGCCCATTAAAATTGTCAGCTCTTCTGTGCCACACGGGTAGTTGCTGGCACCTGTGGCCAATGATCCATGGTCGAATGATCAAAGGTCAGAGAAATGCTGCCACTATAGAGGAAAAGTGAGCTGGCCTCCCAGAGGGAGCAGCTTTGCACACCTCGGGGTGAAATGCTGTCAACTGTCCTCCAATCGTGAATGCGGGTGCTCTACGTTGCTGACTTAACTCTGTGGATTTTCCTTTAATGGTTTAGGACTCGGCAGGATTAAGACATGAGCGGAATGTGTATTCTTCTATACAGACCTGCTGGATACATACTATCGAGTAACAAAGAAATCCAAGTTCCCAGAAACATTTTCTTTCTGTTTTATCTCCTTTTCATTGTAATTTTAGTGAACGTTTATAGAGCAAGTTGGTTTTGGATTCGGCACCCTCATGCACGTTTTGTTTTGTGATCTTCGTAGCAGTCCTCACAGTTCACAGTGTAAGACTGCTCTTCCCACGGCTGCCCAGGTTTCCCAGTGCCTGGTGAGCTTCATCCCTGGACAGATGGTGCCCTCTTGTTCTCCAGTGGTTGCTTACTCTAAGGAGTGTAGACCTCCCTGGGGTGATGGCTCCCTGGAGACCTGTCTGTTGCTTGGCTGAAAGTTGAGGCACAGGGGTCAGTTGTTGCTGTCTCTGTAAAGAACATCTGAGGAAGGAAGAGTCTTTCTCTCCCTGTTTGTCATGTCAGGCATGTCTTACTGTCAAGGTGCTTCTCTGTAGACACACAGCAGTAAAGCAACTAGCAGGAGAGTCTCTCAGGACAGCAGCCTTTGAAAGCAGGTCAAAGGGATTTTCCGCTAAAGGTGGCTGTCAGAATCCCATCTTTGTTTTGAGGCTGGGAAGGATTTAGAGAAGTCCTTCGGGGAAGCAGCCCCTGGAGGCCCTGTTAACCCAAGCACAGCTCTTGTCTCTTGCTGGCATAGGCCTCCTTACACAGAAGTCCCTCTCTGGGTTAGTGGGTGCTTTCAGGGCTGACACCTGCAGAAACGAGCAGGGACTTAGTCCCTTAGTCCAGCACTGCATTCTGGACCCAGAGAAGTGTTGCCCCTCTCACAGCAGCAGTGATGGGCTCCACCCACCGTATGAGCTAGAGACATTGAGGTAGGGTGGTGTTTTGGTTAAGCAAGCGTCCCTGTGATGTGTTACTTTTATGACTCAGTCTCCTCCCCAGAGACTAGGGCAGTAGAATGCTGAGGGTGGGGCCGAGCTCCAGGCTGACCCCGTGAGGCAGGGGATGCTGCTGAAGACACGTGTTCTGAAAGGCTCTTATTTGCACTGTGAGTCTAGACATAACACATTCTCCATTTTGTTTCAAAAACATTTGAGGGTCTAAATATTCAGCACTAGGTGGTGAAAGGGTTTGGCCATTGGTTGTCCTTATGAGACAGTATCATACCTACTAAAGCCGTTATCTTTAGCAAAATTTTACTTGCATGAGATATTAATGATATTGTCCACTGATTCCTGCATTCTGTTGGGTCATCTGCCTTTGGAATGGGCACAAATATGGATCTCTTCCAATCAGTTGGCTCGGTGGTTGTCTTCCAGATTTCTTGGCAGAGATAAGCGAGTGCCTCCAGTGCTGCATCAGTTTGTTGAAAGATTTTGATTTGTATTCCATCAGTTGTTCTTTGCCAAGCAAGGCCTTTAGCGCACCTTGGATTTCTTCCTTCATGATCATTGGCTCTTGATCATATGCTACCTCTTGAAACGGTTGAACATCGTCCATTTCTTTTTGGGACAGTGACTCTATTCTTTCTGTTTTCTTTTGATGCTTTCTGCATCATTCATTATTTTATTCTTCAATATTGCAACTCAAGGCTTGAATTTTTTCTTCAGTTCTATCAGCTTGAGAATGCTGAGCATGTTCTTTCCTTTTGGATTTTTAACTCCAGGTCTTTGTACATTTCATTATAGTATTTGGCTTTGTCTTCTGGAGCTGACCTTTGAAATTTTCTATTCAACTCTTATACCTCCTTGTTTTCTTCCATTTGCTTTAGCATCTCTATCCTGGAGAGCAAGTTTCAGAGTCTCTTCTGACACCCATTTTGGTCTTTTTCTTCTTTCTTGTCTTCTTAATGACTTTTTGCTTTCTTCTATATGATGTTCTTGCTGTCATCCCACAATTCTTCTGATCTTTGGTCTTTAGGGTCTAATGCATCAAATCTGTTCTTGAGATCATCTCTAAATTCAGGTGAGATGTGTTCAAGGTCATATTTTAGCTCTTGTGGACTTGTTTACATTTTCTTCAGCTTCAACCTGAACATGCATATGAGCAATTGATGGTCTGTTCCATAGTCTGCCCTGGCCTTGTTTTGCCTGACGATAAGGAGGTTTTCTACTGTCTCTTTCTACAGATGTAGTCAATTTGAATTCTGTGTATTTCATCTGGTGAGGTCCATGTTATAGTTGTCTATTATGTTGTTGAAAAAATGTATTTATGATGAAGTCATTGGTTTTGCTGAATTCTATCATGCGATCTCCAGCATCATTTCTCTCACTAAGACCATATTTCCAAATGATCCTTCCTCTTTGTTTCCAACCTTTGCATTCCAATCACCAGTAATGATCAATACATCTTGATTGCATTTCTGATCAATTTCAGACTGAAGAAATTGGTAGGATTCTTCTATTTCATCCTCACTGACTTTAGTGTATAAATTTGAATAATAGTGGTATTAGCTGGTCTTCCACATGGGTATTATAATAATATCCACATGGATATTATCAAGACGGATCTTTATAGGTTCTTTTTGATGAAGATTATGATGCTATTCCTCACCAATTTGTCATTCCCAGCATGATAAACTTTGTGATTGTCAGATGCACAACAGTCAGTACCAGTCAGTACATTTCAGCTCATTAATGCCTTAGGAGATCAATGTTTATGTGTCCATTTCATTTTTGACAATTTCCAATTTTCCTAGATTCATACTGTGTACATTCAGTGTTGTGAATATTCATGGATTTTTACTGTGGTTTCTCTTCATTTTGAGTTGTGCCCCATGAACAAATGAAGGTCCTGAGGGCTTTATTCCATCTGTGTCATCATAATCAACTCTGCTTTGAGGAGGCAGGTCTTCCCAGGTCGCACTTTTAAGTGCCTTCCAACCTGAGGGGCTCATCTTCTGGCACTGTGTCTGACAATGCTCTGGTGCTTTTCATCATGTTTCAATATTCAATATTCTGGTGCTATCTGGTTGTGTTCCACTGCTAGTCCTTAGGTTTTCAGTGTCTAAATACTCAGAAGTAGTCCATCTTTCCTTCTTCCTAGTCTATTAGTCTGGAAGTTCAGGTGAAACCTGCTTACTGTGGTGACCCTGCTGGTGTTTAAAACACCCATGGCATAGCTTCCAGAGTCACAGCCGCATGCCAGCCACGGCAGCATGGCAAACACAGGTGAGTGGTAGGACAGAGTCGGGTCCAAAACCAGACCAACATGCACTGCGGCCCAAGGAGGAGGGGTGGGGGAGCTAAATGGGGCGTAGTGTGCACACTCAAAAAGCACTTCCTGTGAAGTCAGGGTTTCATGGGAAAGGGAATGCTTTTTAACAATTTTTGAATGACAAGGAAAGATTTCTTTAGACATGAAAAAGCACCAGTCACATAAGAAAAGATGGATAAATTGGATTCTGTCGAAATGAACATAATCTTTTCATGAAAAGTCATCATAAAAGTAACTGAAACTGAAAGACACACATGGGAGATATGTGCATGTCACCCACAAAAGAGAGTAGCCAAGAAAGACGCTGACTGATTCGGCACAAAGAAAAATACAAACGGGGCGGCGGGGGTGACGGGCAAAGAGAAAAGGAAGCAACATTAGCTTTTAGAAATAGAGAAAAAAGGCTCAAGTCATTGGTAATCAGGAAATTGTAAATGGAGAATGCCATTTCACAAATCCAATTTCAATGCTTTAAAAGATGGACAGTGCCAAGAACTGAGGAGGATGTGGACTTAGGACTTTCCTACATCCCAGTGAGGCTGTGCATTGACGGCCACCCTGTAGCTACCTGGACCAGTTCGCAGCCGCAGACATGGGACAGCCAGCTTAGCTATCAAAGCAGGTGGCTCAATGGCCACCCTTACTGCGCGGTGGGCCCCGGACGCCGCTGGGCCATCTGGGCCTCTCGATGCTACTCAGCAGGCGTCCTGCCTCTGCCTGGCCCCAGCTGGTCAGCAGGGCTTCGGGTACTGTCGCAGCCCTGAGTCCATTACAGTGCTGGACCTCTCTCCTCTCCTCTCAGAGCTGCCCTCTCCACCGGAAGTTCCAGTGAGGCCCCGTCTTCCCACAGACCTCCTGCAGCACAGCCGGTATTACACCCCCAGATGGGCCCTCTTAACTAGTCTGCCCCCCTCATGCCCTAAGGTGTTGGCCATGGGGCCCAGTTGTCCCTGCAGGGGGCTTCACCCCTGACAGTGCCTTTGGTACCTGTGCACTGTTCCAGGAAGGTGAGTTCAGCTTGGAGATGGCATAGGAAAGGCAAGACAGGGGCACCTGTTAGAGAGCTCCGTTGTAGAGGGGCATACAGAGGCTGGGCGCATACTGTCGAAGTGAGCGGGTCTCCAGGGCCCGTTCCATGCCCGATGCCTCTGCCCTCTCGGTGGCATGGAGGGCGGGAGCGGCTGCTTCAGTCAGGGCCGCTGCAGAAGAGGATGGCTTTGCTGCTTAGGAGGTGGGAACACACTCCTTAAGGTCTTTTACAACAAAGACTGAGATCTACATAGCCGATCCTTGTGTAAATTCTGGACTTCTAAACCCAATAGTAAATGTATCCTCAAATAATTTGTAAGCAGTCTTTTGATTGAGTCAAAATTGTATCAAAGTTAGGCTGAGAGCTTGAAGGCAGGCTTCACCTGCATCTCACTGGTGTCTAGCAGCAAGCCTGCCTGGCACATGGTGACTGGATCCGGACAGAGGGGACCGCTGGGCAAACCCCAAGACAACCTAAGCAGGCAGCAGTCGGGTTCTGTGGCTTCACAGAGAACATTTAAGCCAATCAAGCATTTGTGGTTTTTATGATGGTCTAGATGGCGAGCATTTCTTAAAAGGCATTTTTGATTTATAAAAGTACCCCTAAGGAGGAACCCCTGTGTGGCCATGATCTTTACTCGGTTGCTGCTGGAGGGACAATGATTTATTGACCTGTCAGCCCTGGTGGTGCAGGGGCTGAGTGCTCAGCTGCTAACCCCAAGGAAGGCTACTGGAAGGCCGCAGTGAGAGAACGGGTAGTTACCGCCCTAAAGATTGCAGCCTTGGAAGCTCTTTTGGGGACATTGACTCCGGCCTTGAAGTGCTGCCCAGTTGGTTCCAACTCATAGTGACCCTGTACACGGTTTCTGAGGGGTGCCTGGTAGGCTTGAACTGATCCTGCAGGGGTCTCTTACCGGGTTGTGCTGTTAGCTAAAATTGACGCTGCTGCAGGGGTTTTATCAGAGCGCTTGGGTAGAGTGACATTTTCCCTTTAAAGTCAGCTATGATGACTTTGACCAAGATGCACATTAAATTAATACAGTAACGAAAAGCTTCCAGCGGCTCCTAGCTTTCTGACAGGATTGTGCTCTGTAAGGCTCACAGCAAACCGAGGACATGTACGCAGACCAACTTGGGGGAGTGTTGTGGGCTGACATGAGATGCAGAGAAGTCTCATTGGATTTTTTTTTTAAACTTTGTATTGTGAATTAAGTTTACAGAGCAGCTCATCAGTTTTACCGCCAACGAAGCGCACACTTTGTCTCTCTGACTACAGTTCCCTCCATGTAACAACAGTTTTCCTACTTCTTACCTCTGGTTCCTATTTCCATTCCCCTCCTCCTTCCAACCCTTCTGAACCTTGTCCCCCGGGAAGTGCTGCCTTTTTGATGTTGAATGGTTGACCGTCCCATGGTGAGTACTCCTCACTAGTGTGGTGGTCCCTACTATGTAGCTACGCTCCACAAGTTGTGTTCTAGACCTGAGGGTGACTGAGGGCCATAGTCTCGGGTGCCTCCAGTCTCTTTCTAATTAGTGAGCCCAGGCTTTTTTTTTTGTAAGTTTTTATTGTGAATTGAGTGATAGTTTACATGGAAGAACATTGGTTTTACGCTCATTGTCTCATTGCAATGATTACAGTCTCCTCCGTGCATCATCATTCAACAGTATTTGCTTCTATTCCCTCTGTTTTAGTTTCTTTTTTTTTTATGTACATAGAAACACTCAGGATTATGTAATCATTGAAACAACCCAAGGGCACATTCTGCAAGCCTGCCTCCTGGCTGCCAGCACACAGCCTTTCTCAGTCCATGAATCTAGAGTCCTCAGCTGCTCCCTCTCTCCATGTCCCCAGCTCTGCCTCCATCTCTGGTGTCTCAGCTTCTCTGGATAGGGTCCCACATTCTGTTCATGCCCTTTTCCCTTGATGGTCCGCGGGTCCTCTTTTGCTTCATCACAGTCTTTTTTATCATCTTGAATTTTGTTCCCCATGCCTCCCACTCTGCTGTCTGAGACCTCCCTTCTATAGGAGTTGGTAGTGGTAGCTGGGCACCATCTACTTCTGGTCTCAGAGTTGTGGAAGCTGATGCACCATTGATCCATTGGACTATTGATTTCAAGCCTCTTCAGTTTTCATCGCTCTCCTTTCTTCTGCACAAGGAGAAACCAGTAGTTGTACCTCAGATGGCTGTTCAGGAGCTCATAAGATCCCAGTCTCTACTCAGCAAAGTAGGCTGGAGAGCATGGTCTTTGTGAGCTATGTTAGGTCAGTTGACCAGATGCCCCTGAGACCATGGTCCTCAGAGCCCAGGCCCACTCACAGTGTTTGGTAGTGTCTCAGTTTTCAGATTCTGTGAGTGCTCCAGCACGTTGGTGGGTGTGGTGGAAGCATAGGGAAATACCCATGTACAGATCGCTTCTGTCATGCTCTCACATGTGTCTGGGTATACTCCCGCTCTTCTTCCCATGTCCATTTATCTGTGTGTGTCCATGTATCGACCTGTAGAACACTGTTGTTGCAGGGTTGTGTGTTTGCCTCTGTCCTCTTGCGCCCTTCACTCCTTCCCGTGTTCACCCTCTTGTATATTGTCTTCCCCGTCCCCCGAGTTAACATGTCGTTGGATTTTGGAGCTAACTCAGCCATTCTCTCTGCAGACTAGAGTGAGCTCTGAGCAGGAGCACTTCCTCATCGTACCTTTTGGACTTCTGTACAGCGAAGTGACGGCTTCCAGTTTGGTAAGACGGAACTCTCATCTCGGGCATCACGTGTGAGCAGAGCGTGGTAGATCACTATAAACAGCTTCAGAAGCAGCTGACGTATAACACTCAAAGAAGATGAACGACTCCATGCTTTTTGTGGTTAATTCAGTTAGAAAAAATTCTTTGAAGGAAGTTGTAAACACTTTGACTGGTGTAAATATTTTCTAGTTGGGATGCAAATCCAAACTGCAGTGAGATATCGTTCACTCCCAGTAAAATGACTGAGGAGTCCTGGTGTGCTACTATAGCAGGATAAGCACTGAACTGCTAACTTAAAGGTTGGTGGGTCAGGCCTATCAGCCACTCCTCAGAAACCCTTTTACAGGGTAGCTCTGATAGGTACTGACTCGATGGCACTTAGCCACAACAAACAGCAGGATGGCTAAGGTTAGAAAAACCCCAAACCACAGAAAATAACAAATGGTGGTGAGGATGTTCAGAAAGTGCAACCTCTGTCCACTGCTGGTGGAAATGTGCATGGCACGGCCTCTGTGGGGCAGTTTCACAGTCCTTCAGACACCGCAGCTGAAGCTACCAGGGGATCCAGCACTCCACTCCGAGGTGTGTACCCCAAGGACATGAAAACAGACTCAGATGTGCACATCAGTGTTCTCTGCAGCACTAGTCACAGTAGCCAAAAGGTGGGAAGACCCCAAATGTCCCTCAACAGACGATGAATAAGCACAGTGTGGTGCGCACACGCAGTGCAACACTGCTCGGTCGGTAGGAGGAATGAAGCTTGGGTACATGCTACAGTGTGGATGGAAGGTGAGGACATGATGCTGAGTAAAAAGAACAAATAGTTTATAAACTCATGCACATAAAAAGGCAAGAAAAGTCAAATGTATAGAGACCAGAGTTTACTCCCGGTCACCAGGATGGGAGCGAGGGCGGGGTGGGGTCATTAACAGTGATGAGAAAGGGCCGGGCCTTTGTTGTCATAGCTGTCAGTGAGTTGTATACCCGTAACACATTGCACTGGTGGATTGTGTGATTGATTATTGGTAACAATGACAAAATCACAGAGCATAGCTTCTGAGGCTGCTCATGTACAGACAGAACCTCCTGGAATCTGGTTCCTTGATTTGGAAGTTTAGAGTCTTGGTTTCAGGGGCTACCAACATGCTTAGTGCTTCTGTTGCGCCTCTTAGCTCCATCTGTACTACCTGGGGCCATAAAAGGTGACTGTCCAAGGCCCAGTAACAGGACGGAGGACCAGGAGCGTGACGCTAATTATAGCAACTTCCTCCTGTGCCAGGAGATGAGAACTAGTTGTTGCCCTGCTACCATTACTGAACATTTTTATCCAAATGTCACTGACTCCAGACTTTCTGGAGCCAAGGGAGCTGGGTCAGTCTCTGAACTGTTCCCCGGAGTTGAGCTTTTAGCCTTAAAGTCAAAGTATCCACTGAAGTCTTCTTGTACACCCAACAGTGGTCTAGCTTAATTGGTAAAGAACATCTACCTTGAGCACTGGGCTGTCTGCAGACTTCTCTATAGGGTTACAGGAACAGCAGCGACAGGAACGACGAGGGCAGTGAGTGTCTGCCCATGAGGGAGGGGCAACTCAGAAAGGAGGCTGAGGGAACGGTGGGATTGATGGATGGTTTGCTGAGTCTGCCCTCACCAACAACAAAATGAAAATTTCACAAGTATTCTCTAGTGGGGTTGTGTGAAATCCTCTTGACATATGAAATTGTGTTCTTGTTTTCAGGTTAAAATCAATCTGCAAGGTGACGTAGTGGACCGTGGTAGTACTAACCTCGGGGTCAATCAAGCGGGCTTCACTCTGCACTCGGCGATTTATGCCGCCCGCCCAGACGTGAAGTGTATTGTTCATATCCACACTCCAGCAGGGGCCGCGGTAAGTGTGCCAAAGGTCCTTGGGAGATGCAGAATGCCTCCTCATCCGAGCAGAGGACTAGGAAATGGAAACTTCGAGGCAGGTCGAGGACGCTCCAGCCTCAGACAAGGATTCCTAGGGTCCAGAGACTGAGCCTGTGGATGGGCTGTGAGGAAGGAGAAGGAGCTGGGGATGAGGACTAGAATGCGCCCAACTGTCGCACAGCGCTACATCCAGAGCCAGAGGGGCCCGGGCTGTTCATGTATGGGCAGTCTTGAGGGACAGGGCTCTCAGGAGGCCAGGAACTCAGCCACCCCCGTCATCACACCTGGTCACTGTATGGGCCACTGAGCATAAAATTGTGCTGTTTGACAGTTGGCACACAGTCGAGGGACAGCAAAGCCTTTAGGAAGTCTGCCTTTCATAAGCAAGTGCCCCTAACAGCTGCCCTGACTGACCCCCAGCACTCTCCTGACACTCTGGTGGTGTGGACACATGTTAGCTGTGGTTGCTGTACTTCCCTTAGAATACAGGGGCCTGCTGCCCCCATCAAAGTTTAGCCCACTGTTTCCCATCTCTGAGGGATGTCATTTTTTCCTAACAAAATACACGTAAGAAGCCCATGCATGTATAAGGATCATTAGCGACACCTCTGAGAATATGGTGGCACACAGCTCCCATGCAGCATGGAGTCCTGACATGGCACTGTAGGACTGCTAACTGCAAAGTTGACTGTTCAAACTCACCAGCTGCTCCTTGAAAACCCGGTACAGGGTCTCTATGGGTTGGAACTGAATCTGTGGCACTGAACCACCACCGCCATAGAGTATGTTTTTAAAAATTAGCATCAAAATCATTTTTATGGTGAGGGAATTTCTAATAGGATGGCTAAAGTTATGGAAGGAATGAAATGTGCTATTGTCTTTTTCAGTAAACTTTTCTTGGTACAATTGTTGTACGGACACATCTATCTGAATCTATGGAGCTTATTAGAGCAGGGTCAGAAGCTGCTCTCAGCAGACCTTCAGAATGAGCCCAGAGTCCTGGTGTGGTGCTGTGGGGTAATGGGGTTAATGCATCAGACTGCAAAGCCACTTGAACTGCAAGGTCTGTCGGTGGTTCAAGCTCACCAACTGCTCCTCAGAAACCCTATAACAGTGTCGCTATTGGTCAGAACCGACTCTGTGGCACTTCACAATAACAACAAAGGCCAGATTTGGGGGCAGGGTGCTGTAGGATAAGCACTTGCAGCTAAACCACAAGTTCAAACCCACCAGTCACTTCTCAGAGACTCTAGATTCGCTTTGAGTCAAAAACGACTCAACGGCATTTAACAACAAGGTTTTTGGTTTTGAGATTCTACTTGGACATAAATGAATGTAGAGACTGTACAGTATAGTGGCGATGATCTTTTGTACCCTTGTTCCTTATTGAAGTTTCTGCTGTTCTGATCTTACAGCCTAAGGTGAACAGGATGCTAAGATGATGCATCGCTCTTAAAGTCTCATGAGTGACTACTCATCTTCTTATGACGTGGGAGCTTACATAGAATGTCTCGTTACCGAGACAAGAGTCCACAACAGTGTGGTTTCTCCTGTTTGTTGAGACTCTTCTAGCTTAGGCTTGGTGGTGAGCCACACAAGTAATTGTACCCTAATGAGATCACGACTTAGTTAGTTTCCGAAGAGAACGGAGTCCATTCTCTCTCCTGTCTGTTGCTGTGAGGACAGTGCTCCCATCTTGCCTGCATCATGGTTCTCCCCATCCCCGCCCCTAGGTCTCTGCGATGAAGTGTGGCCTGCTGCCCATCTCCCCGGAGGCACTGTCCCTCGGAGAAGTGGCTTATCATGACTACCACGGGATCCTGGTTGACGAGGAAGAAAAGGTGTTGATTCAGAAAAATCTGGGGCCAAAGAGCAAGGTCAGTAGGGCCGACTCTGGTATCAACATTACAGGGGACAGGAACCTCCCGGAGCAGCCTGCTCACCTGGCTTCCTGGAACACACACATTGTCCCCTCAGGTCCTCATTCTCCGCAACCACGGGCTCGTCTCGGTGGGAGAGACTGTGGAGGAAGCCTTCTACTACATCCACAACCTCGTGGTTGCCTGTGAGATCCAGGTGGGTGCGGCTCCTGTCGGTTTTTTATGCTGCTCTTGTACGACTGAGTCTGCCAGGGCTTGGAAAATGGCCAGGTCAGGGGCCATTTCATTGACTTGAGATTACTGGCCTTTTCATTTCTAGTTTTTATTTTTCTAGAACCTGAGCAGTCACTCCCAGGTGAGGAGACCCTGGTATGTTCCAGGCTCTGACCCGGGTACTCTCATCGGGCCTGCCCCGTGCTGCTTTTAATAAAGCAGGCACCGAGAGGATGAGCCCAGCCCCAGCTCTCAGCTGCTGAGGGCCACGTAGCCAGGTCCATGTCATGTCCAAGTGTGGGCTCTTCCCGCCGCCCCGCAGTCACGTCTGTGGGTGTGAATCGCACGTCCCTGCTTCGTCCGTTCTGGGTGTGAGTGCCCACCACTGCCTCCCAGCAGTCATTTGGCAGTGGCCTCTGGTTAAGCCGTCACTGCCCAGCCTGCAGCGTGTGGTAGTCTGTGCTCCCGTCATTGGATTTCTGTAACCCGGGGTCATGTATCTCAGGCATGTTCTCTGGGGCTCCGTGAGGGACTTAAACTGTCACATTTCTTGTTTTGGAAAAGGTTCGTACGCTGGCCAGTGCAGGAGGCCCAGACAACCTGGTCCTGCTGGATCCTGGGAAGTACAAAGCCAAGTGCCGGCCCCCGGAGTCTCCAGCAGGGGAGGGGGGCACCGGGTCGCCTCCCAAGTGGCTGATTGGGGAGCAGGAATTTGAAGCTCTGATGCGGATGCTCGATAACCTGGTAAGTGTGCCACCCATGCTCAGTGAGGAAGTCTCTGTCCTAAAGGCACATGGGTGCCTCCGGACCAAGACAGGGCAACTTCAGGGACGGCCCCCTGCTGCTGAGTTGCTCTGCAGGGTGAAGATGTGCCTCCAGCCAAGTGCCCTTGGCCTTTGGTCTCCTTTCAAGTGAGAAGCAGATGAGTAAAGCTAGAAGACACCGCAGTGGTTTGGGAGGAGGACTGAGGAAGCTGAGGCTTTGCCTCTGGTTGGGTAGTGATGGGGTGTGCACAGATTATGGTTTTGAGTATTCGCAGCTCTTGTGGCTTATGAGAAACTAGACAACCAGCCCCTGTTGGTAATCACCTCGTGACTCAGCCTGGGGGCCAGCCCAGATGCTGTTTGGTAGCAATTGAGGAAGACAGAAGATTGAGCTGAGGAGTCTCCCTTGTTCAGAAAGGTTGCTAGATTGTTTGTAACCTTCAGGACCGAGGAGGCCCTTGCTTTGTGATTGACAGCCCCAAAAGGGGAGGGATCAAGACAGCACCCCTCCCTGTCAGGGTGAAATGGTGTCTCTGACTTCTGGGCTTTATCCCCTAGTCATGGTGTGGCTCTCGCCAGGGGGGGGCCCTAGGAACAAGAGCAGTTTTTCTGAAGACAGCGAGTGTTTTTATAGCAGAGTTGCTCAGTGAGCACACTTGTAAGTGGTGCCCCGACCTCCCTTGGGGAGAGTCCTGTGAGGACAGGCATCTACCTGACATTGCTGGCGCCTTTTTCAGTGTCTCAGAGGAGGAGCTGGTAGCGTGCCTGCGGTGTGCGCCTTTTTAGGAGAACTCGCTCAGCAATGGGACGAACGCTGTGCAATCCTTTGAAGTCTCTGTCCCCTTGACTTGCCCTTTGTTGTCAAAGTGCCATGAGAGACATGGCCCAGATCTGGGACTGCCTTGGTTTCTAGGCTAAAGCGACACCCATGTATTACACCACAGTTCCTGTGGGTGGTATCCGCTCAGCCGGGCCCTCTGCTCAGGACGTCACAAGGCTGGGTGCTCACCTGGAGAGGGACCACTCCATGCCCCTGGGGCGCCAGCCAAGTTCATTCTCACAGCTCTGTGGGACTCATGTCTGCTTGCCTCTTCAAAGCCAGCACTGGAAGACAGGCCTTCGCAAGACAGGGTGATGTTTATATTAGGAACGCCACCTTCTTGGCCAGTTCCACTGGTTAGAAGCAAGCCACACCACAGGTCCTGTTCACACTCGGGGGAGCAAGGGGCTACACGAAGTGTGACCACCCATGTCCCCACAGTGCCCAGCATCAGATAGAAACGGTGTGTGTCCTCGGAGAGGTCATCTGTGGGGAAAGGAGCAGACACTGGCTGCTGCCAGATGGGTGAGGTGTCCGTCAAGGGGACATGGTCTAGAGCAGGGCTCACGAGGCATCGTGGAAGGTTGTCATCATCAAGTGCAAAGTGCATTTGCTGGGAAGCCCATCACCATGACGTCCGCGGCTCGGCTTCACTTACAGACTGTCGCAGTGACCACAACAGAAGCCATCTTCTGTACACATCAGGAGGCTTAGTACACTCTGGAGTGCAGCAGCAGCCAGGAGCCGTTTCTCATACAGACAACGTGTCTAAGCAGGGAGTGCACACATTGTAAATGGTCCAGCTGTTGGGTCTTCAAAACAGAACTTGTCTCCGGCACCCAGATCAGAAAGCAAAACAGCCCAGCCCCTTAGCAGCCCCATCCGACCTGCCCCGTCACTAACCCTGCCACAGGTACTGGCTTTCATCTGTAGTCTTGTCCAGTACGTGGTTTTTGGCATCTGGATGTCCCCTCAGCATCTTTCCTGTGCATTTCCTCCTCATTTATCTCCTATTCCTTAATAGGAATATGCCGCAGTTTCTCCTCACGTCCAGTCTGTGAGATCCCTGCACGGGTATTTTCACTGCTTCTCCTAGTCTGTGATAGCTTATACCAGTTTCTATGCATTGCTGCTGATGGACATCTGTGTGGCTTCTAACTTGAGGCCATTCAGAATAGTGCTGCTGGGAACATTGTGGTCTCTGGTTCTGGTGACCTTTGTGTGCGTTTCTGTTGGGGATTTTGGACATGAAATTGGGAAGATTGACTGTCTCTCCTTCTCTTTGGCCCCTAGGGTTACAGAACTGGCTACCCCTACCGCTACCCTGCTCTGAGAGAGAAATCTAAAAAGTACAGCGATGTGGAGGTCCCTGCGAGTGTCACGGGTCACTCCTTTGCTAGTGACGGTGACTCGGGCACTTGCTCCCCTCTCAGACACAGTTTTCAGAAGCAGCAGCGAGAGAAGACAAGGTGGCTGAACTCTGGCCGGGGTGACGATGCTTCTGAGGAAGGGCAGAACGGAAGCAGTCCCAAGTCGAAGACTAAGGTGTGGACGAGCATTACACACGATCACGTGAAACCCTTGCTGCAGTCTCTCTCGTCCGGTGTCTGCGTGCCAAGCTGTATTACCAACTGCTTGGTCTGTGCCTCCTTACTGTTCATAGTTAGATGACGTAGAGCGAGTGGGGCAGCTGGGACTTCGGAGGCTCTGGGAGGCCAGCCCTCTGACCTCTCTTTTGTCCACCTTCCTATCAGCCCCAACCTGAGTAATACTCTCCGCTTGAAACTGCTTAAGATGTAGTGCTCCTCTAGGCATTCCAGCATAACAGCTTCCCTGCATTCACCGCCTATAATTCTGCTTGTCCTCGAGGCTCCTTAACGCTCCGGGCACGAGAAGGGACTTCCGCCATCAGGGGCCAGACCCTCGAGTGTGCGCCACTCCAGGGCTTCCACTGGACCTCAGTGCCCGTCTTTATCGCTTCCCTATGTTCTTAAGCAGTTTCCCTGGTGCCTCGCTGGCCTGCTCTCCACTGACCCTGCCCTCTCTTGAGAGCCCCGCCCCTCCTCCTATCCCAAAGCCTCCGAAGGTCCAGCCAGCTGCCCTCTGCATGGACTGTGCATGTGAGTAGATGGCCATGAGGGGGGGCCCTGTGGACCCCCGCTGGGTGCGGCATGACCCAAGTGCAGCGCAGGCCATCAGCAGGCGCCAACAGGAGGCGCCCCAGGGCCCAGGATCCTCCCAGGAACTAAAACCTGGGCTTGGACAGTCTGCCCCAGGAGCCTGGAACAGAGTCCTCGCTGAGGGGACGAGACTGGGAATAGGTTAGATGCTCCTGAGACAGTAGGTGCTGGAGAAGCAAACGGGCTTTCTTGCCCCTGGTCAAACCTGTTTAAAGAAGGAGAAGCTCTGTTTTCCTAGGTGGCACCTTGTCGCTGGCGAGCCTCCGTGCTCCTGAGCAAGCTGTCCCGTGGGCCCAGAGCCCTGGTGAACGTGGTGGGCTCAGCGTGTGGGAGCTGCTCCACCGCCGCCTTCCCTCCGTCCTTCTCCCCCTGCCTCTCTGCCACCCGCTTCCCTTCTCAATTCCTTCCTTGCCTTCTTTTCTTTTGGTTCAATTGTCTTGTTTTGACTGATTTTACTTGTTAAACATGAGCAAGCTTTGAAAGCGACTCCCCACGGAGGACACACATGCACAGCACTGCCTGCTGTGATGGGTTTTTCCACTGGGCACACGCAGCAGCAGCTGTGAGCACAGTTGGATGCTAGTTACGTCTGGGTAGCCGTTATAGGCCATGTCTGCAGTGAGGGGGCCGAGTGCGGTCAGCGTTTAGATGTGTCTCTGGTTCCCTGGAGTCATAAGAACTCCAAGCAGTGTTCCCAGGTTGGTATATTGACTCACTGTTCTTCATTTTTCCAATGTGTTCAAGATTTTGAGGTGGTGGTCTTAATGCTTTGACTAAAATCATTGTTTTTGATAAAAAGCTGGAGTGACTTTTATCTGAGAAGATAATAACCAGTGAGTATTCCACGCTCCATGTCCATCCCATGGTCTCCTTTACGGCGGCTAAGCGGTTTACAATTTTGTTGCTTTCTTTGAAGTCTTAAGATTTATGGCTATTCTGGAAGGCATAACATCTGCTCTCTAAGATGGGCTTGTTTTAACGTTCAGTGCCTATTATATGCTAAAGAATTTTCAAATTTGACTGAAAAGCCCACATTTAATCTGATTAGAGATCAAAAATAAAGGAGTAAATAACCCTGTGCGAGTGATCGCTGGGCGCCTGTGTATCATCAATATGCACTGACACCTAAAACGGCCTTGAACGGAGGACTCATGAAGCTTCGAGTTTGTTTGGGATATTTTTGTAACACTTCAAATGAGCAAGTTATATAAAATATTCGCCATCACCAAACTCTTCCACCAGGTATCGGCTGTATAAACGTCCTCACAGTAATGTCCTGGGGTTGAACCCATTACGCCAACAGTGCATTCTGGTGCTGCGGTTTATCTTAATGCTCAACTTTGGTGATGCCCACTCCCGCCTTGCGGTGCACCTGGGTAGTCCCATCACACCGCTTCTCACAGCCCTGTCATCTCACGCTTCCAGTTCGCTTTGGCGTTGGCTAACTCTCAGAGCGGTGAACCAATGGTCTGTGAAAGGCGGCTCTCCAGCCCCATGGGATGTCCACAGCTGCGCTCTGTGGCCAGCCTGTGCCCGCCCTAGATTCTGGCTGGGCATCTCACATGGCACTGGCTAGGGGGTCACAATGTGCATGTGACTCTGCCCACCCCTCCTGACCCCGCTCATTGGTTCAGTTCTCGCTCTGGGATGTTGAGTGCATGACCAGGTATGATGTACGTGGGGGTAGCTGGGTGTTGTGTGTGTCTGCTGCCGCCAGCCCTGACTTTGCCACTGTTCTTGATGTTCCAGTGGACTAAAGAGGACGGACAGAGAGCCTCCACCTCTGCCGTCCCTAACCTGTTTGTCCCATTGAACACTAACCCTAAAGAGGTCCAAGAGATGAGGAACAAGGTGCGTAACCCCCGTCCCATACAGAGGAGACTTGTGTGCTGGGGGGTGGGGGGCGGGGGGGAAGGCTAAGAGCAGCACCACTCTGTGTGCTGCCGACCTGCAGCTCAGCTGACCGGGGGTGTGGAAGCAGTGGACACTCGGACCCTGGGGGCTCTGGAACTCTCAGCTGCTCAGTCAGTCAGCTAGAACTGGGACCTCTACACCTGCTTTAGCCGGGGCGATGGCTGCGCCTACCTCCTGGGGTGGATTCCAAGAGTCGAGTCGGGGGTGGCTCCTGTCAGGTGTAGGGAACTTCCGCCATCAGTGCAGCACGGCGGAATGCGTGATGGTGAGAGGGGAGGAAAGCTCGAGCCGCCCTGCACCCACCCAGTGCCGTTGGTGGAGTAGCCATGTGGGCCTGCGCCTGCCACAGACAGCTTCTCTCTGCTGTTCATGTGTGTCTCCTCCCGTCCTCAGATCCGAGAGCAGAACTTACAGGACATCAAGACAGCCGGCCCCCAGTCCCAGGTCTTATGTGGTGTGATGATGGACAGGAGCCTCGTCCAGGTGAGCACTCAGAGTGTCGCTGGCCTTAGTGGGTGGTGGCGTTATTGGTTCCTGGTAAGAACTAACAGCCGCTCTCAGGCCTGGGTGCCAACAAGCATGCCAAGGGTGCGGTGGCCCCCCAGCCTCCACCCCTGTAGTGCATGTATGTCATGCATCGCTTACGGGCCTGGCGTCGCCCCATGTTTGATCAGAGTGCGGTTGGTGGGTGCTGGCCCATGTCCGAGTTGCCTGTTTGTAACCGAGAGCTGCTGGGAAGTGTACTCATAACCATAAGAGGCTTATACAGGAGTTCCTGTGAGTGGGCGGCCAACGTGCCCAGGAAGAGCCGCTATCTGTGCAGCCCAGCCCTGTGCTTTAGCCTGCCCTCTGTCACCTGGCTGGCCTGTGTCCTGTGCACGCTCCACCGCTGTCACCTGTGCCATAGCTCCTGCACGCAGTCTGCTATCCTGTCCCATGCTCTGCCTGCGTGTCTCGCAGCTGGAGCGAGTGTGCGCTCACAACTCAGTTTACCATTGCAGGACGCACCCCTCTCTGACTGTACGGAGACTATCGAAGGGCTCGAGCGGACAGAGCAGACCTTTAGTCCCGCTAAACCTCTCTGTTTTAGGAAGGTACTCACTGCCTACCAGTCCACCGGGCCGCTCCCCTGCCCCTGCCCGCCCCACCCCTGCCCGCTCTCTCTGGACTTGGTCTGAGTCACCGAAGGAACTCTATAAACAGCCCTGAGTTCCTCTGGCTGAACTGGGACAGAGGTTCTGTCCTGCCCGGCCTCTCCTCTAGAACATGAGTTCTCTCCATGATGCTCTGCACCCCAGGCTGTTGCTCAGCTAGCCAGTCCTCACTGTAGGGGCCACTCCGGAAGGCCTTGTGCCACCTTGGGCACTCCATGGTTTTGAGTTCCCGGCAATTTGCCGTTTACAACCAGATGCTGGTTTCCACAGCCTGGACAAACCGCTAGCGGTGGCGGTGGCATCTCCCCCACAGGACCACCGCTCACCCCTCACTTGCTGTGTTCTGGCCCATAAACTTGGTGAACAGAAGGCCGGGGTATGACAGACTGGGAGGAGGTACTTCAGCAGAACGGGAAGTACAGCATTGACCGTGTGTCAGCCCTCGTTGGGACATGCGTTTCTTTTTACCTTAGAAAGGAACCCTCTGTGGTGGCGGCCTGACAACACTGAGCCATGCGTGTGGCAATGCTAGAGATGGCAGATGCTCTGTTATGTGTTGTGGGTCTTGTGGTGGTGTGCCGTTGAGTCGGTTCTGATCCATAGAAACCCTGCGTGGGAGCTCACACAGTCTCATTCTCCTCCCTCCGAGGAGCTGGTGACTTCAAACTGCTCACCTTGTGGTTAACGGTTCAATGTATAACCCACTACGTCACCACAATTTACAAAGAAAGACTTCAATGGACCCAGACCTTGTGGATCCGTAGAAGCTGGGGGAACCCCTGGAACAGTGGTCCTGAGATCTTATCTAAAACTTAAACCTGGAATTTCCCTGCAGTCTTCTTAAAACGAATCTCTAGCCGTGGTGTGGCTCTGTAGGATAAGCACTGGACTGCTAACTACAAGGCCAGACCTTGTTAAGACCCACCAGCCACCCTTACAAACCCTACGTTGTTGTTAAGTGCCGTGGACTCAGTTTAGACTCAGAGCGACCCTGTATAGGGTTTCCAAGGCTTTAAAACTTCATAGGAGCAGAAAGCCTTATCTTTCTCCCTCAGAACAGCTGGTGGGCTCAAGCCACAGACCTTGTGGTTCACAGCCCTTTGCTTACCATATGGAGCTCTCATTGGAAACACTATCAGGGTCTCTGTGAGTTGAAGCCAATTCGACAGCCCACCGCCGCAACAGTGTAGCTTGACTAGTGAAGGGTGTGGGCCTTGAGCGGGCGCTCTTTCACGCTCTCTGTGGGGTCAGTTGACAACAGCATCTTGAACGGCCCTGGGGGCAGCAAGTGTCTGTTCCTGGGGAGAATAGTGTATGGCCTGGGAGTCAGCTTCCTGTCACTGGATGGTACATGCGAAACCGTGTGTCTTGTGTGCACGTTATTGTCAGTGACAAAGGAGACTTATTAGACGTACCAGCCCTGCCCTCCAAAAAGGACGCCCTCGATCCTCTGTGGGAAGGATGTTGAAGCCCCTAATCCCTGAATCAGCATTTCTGGTGACCCGATACCACTGGCCCAGATGGAAGTGCACCTTCTCCTGCCCGGCTCCGGCAGAAGCCTGGTGGCCAGGGTCCTGGATATGATGTCCGCTCTCTGCTCAGCATTCTCCAGGCCTCTCTCTGAGGTAGCCCACCTCCAGTGAGATGCTGGTCTCAAGTTAGTGAGGTGCCAGCCTGCTGGCAGGGAGACCCATTCAGCACCACGGGTCCCACGTGGCCCAAATCCCGTCCTGAGAACTTGCTTCCTGCCGCCGTTCCTGGAGGAGCCCTGCAGAACCTGAGGCAGGCGCACATTTACCCCAGTGCCCTGGTTTCCCGCAGAGCCTGTCTGGCGCGGCCTCTTCCTCCGCCTTGGTTAGGACTCTGAGCAGTCGCACTGAGCAGGGTGTTGGTCACATCAGCACCTGCCCGGCCATCCATAATTGGCCTGGTGAGGCACACTGGAGGGGCCCATGCATAGTGTCGGATCTGACCTGGGCAGTGGGTCCAAACGTCGTTTTGTTAGGAATGCCTGGTGGCTCTGATAGTGCAGCCCACGTCCGAGCACCTCTTTGAGCGATAGTCAGGTGTTGTCAGCATCATGTGCCAGAGAGACCCCAGGCCAGATGTGCAGTCTTGTCCCAGCATCCCTCATGCCCACCTAAAGGTGGTTTTGTGTTTGGTGAGCCCAAGGCTCTGGCGGGCTGTGCCTCTCCTTTTACATCACTGCTGGGCCAGGGGAAGACGGTGGTGCTTGCTCAATGCCCAGAGAAGTGACTCCTGTCAGCCCCACCGGGGGAGCTGAAGAACCAGATGTTGGGGGACCAATCACTGGAGTCTTTTTCCAAAGGGCCTCTGCCCTTCTCCTGCACTGGTGGCACCATGGATTCACTGCTGGCTTCCTAACCACAAGGTCGATGGTTTAAACCGACTTCAAGTGCCTTTGCAGGACAAAGGAGATTGTCGGCTTCCACACGGATTACAGTCTTTGTAGAACTCATGTAGCATTGCTCTGGGTCGCAACCGACCTGACTGCAGTGAGTTTGGGGAAGGCTTTCTTGGCGCAGTGGTTAAATGCTTGACTGTTAACCACAAGTTCAGCAGGTGGGACCCCGCAGTCCTGTAGGAGCGAGGCTTCTGTGTCCTGGGGCCAGTTGTGCCCTGGCCTGTGGAGTGCTGTGTGTGAGCTGCACTGCGCTGGACAATGAGTTCTTACCTGAAACTCCAGCTGCTGCATGTCCTAGTGGGTCACGATGTGGATTTCTTTGGGGCTCGACTGGGTGTAGACTGAGTCATCAGAGACCAGGCTGTGACAGGGTCTAGTGAAAACTGTCCCCCTCCGGAAAGGACTCTGCCATTCCGAGAGCGTGTCTGACTGTGTGAACAGCAGTCTGCATCAGGGCTTTGAACTGGTTCCAAACGTTTCACTCATGACTGGCAGGAACAAGGGCAGCATGTGGATTGCAGAGCAACCAAGCATCTTGCAAGCAGTGGTGGCAGCCCGCTACACCATGACCCACATTTGGAGCCATGCTGAACCCGTGAAGTACGCGCTGTGGACCCACCTGACGCTTGCTGGGTACCTAGTATGTGCGTGGCTCAGCATCAGAGTGTAAATTCACAGCCATCTGCCTCCTGTGTATCCCTTCAACCCTTAAACCTGAATTGTCCCCTCAAGTCTTCTTAAAACAGGATCCTAGCTTAGCTCTGTGTGGTGCTGTCGGGTAAGCAGTGGCAGGTTGTCAGTTGATGAGAAGTCTGGTGACCCAGGAGGTGGGACACAGCCGGTGCTCATGTCCGCCCACACTGCCTCAACCAGGGCAGAAATGTGCGTGCACGTGTCTCTTCAGAGCCTCGCTGGGGAATCGCTGGAGCCACCAGGACCACCTAAGGGAGTGCCGACTCTTCACCCTGTCACCCCATAGCACCCCCCAACACCTCCAGAGAACAGCCACTCCATCCATGTCCATTTCATGCCCGCTGCTACCTGTGCTGGGAGCCCTAAGCCCTGGAAAACATCACAACCACGACAAGCACTTTACTGACTTTGAAATTAGATGAACTTAAAGGAGCTCTGGTAGCATAGTGGTTAAGAATTGGGCTGCTAATCTCACGGTTGGCAGTTCGAAACTACCAGCTGTTCTGTGGGAGAAAGATAAAGCTTTCTGTTCCCGTAAAGATTTATAGCCTCGGAAACCCTGTACAGGGTCACTATGAGTTGGAACCAACGCCACGGTACTTAACAACAAACATTTCTCTCAAAACTCATCATCTTTTCACTGTATTGGCTGTGAATCCGAGGATTCTGAACGATTGCTCAAAATGCCACAGGTTTCTAGAGCAACTGTGGGTAGGAGGGGCTTGTCCAGGCTCCAGAGCTGAAGGGCAGCGGGGTTCCACGTCCTCCTCCGGGAGCCTGGGCTGCTTCTGCACAAGTCGCCTGTGGACCTTGGGGCAAGCCAGTTGGAAAGGAGTCCCGCCCGCACCTGCCAGTGGAGCGGCCCCAGTGGTCCCTTTGTGGGGAAGCTCAGCCTGCGGCTTCCCTAGCTCTGGGGGTTTGGGCCTTTCCTGGGCTTGTTTGTAGAGGTGCTTGTGGGGTGACAGGCACATGCGTGAGCGCTGCCCATCTGGGTGTTACCTGCTGTACTGTGCTTGCTGGCGGTTTCATTGACACACTCCGTTTTCCCAGCCCCTTAGACACACACGTTTGGGGATACTTGGTCACCTGTAATGCTTTGGGGTGACATTCTAAACCCATAGAGAAGTGAAACTTGTCTATAAGCACCTCCTCCAACCCCTGCCTCTCCTGCCCCCCAGATGAGTCGGCTTGCTCAATGTTATGGAGATGGTGGGCTTTGAGAGAGGCAATGTCCTGTCCCCCTGGCGAGTCCAGCTGGGCCGTGTCTGCACACACACAACTCCCCCCCACACACACACAGCATTTGGGTGTCTTGGCTTTTTGCCCGATGGGCTGGTGGTAGCTGGCTTTCTCCTGTTGTGTTGATTCACACTTTAGCCTGAGCGCACGCGGTCCCCTGCCCCAATACCCGTGTTGCCCATGGAGGGGTCAGGTCCTGGGTGCGGGGCTCCCAGCAGACCCCACGTGTCCTGTCGTCCACAGGGGGAACTGGTGACGGCCTCCAAGGCCATCATTGAGAAGGAGTACCAGCCACACGTGATTGTGAGCACCACAGGCCCCAACCCCTTCACCACGCTCACCGACCGAGAGCTGGAGGAGTACCGTCGCGAGGTGGAGCGGAAGCAGAGGGGCTCAGGAGGTGAGGGCCAGGCCCCTTCTCTCCCATACGTTGTTGCACACACATTTCCCGCTTGTGCAGAATTACAAGGTCAAGCACACGCAGGATGGCTGGTTAGACAGGACACACCCTCGAGGGCACTGGAAATTGGAGCCTGCACCCCCAAACCTCTCTCTGCCCCCTGCGCTGTGGTGGGATATGTCTGGACTGCCCCAGACACAGCCTCTGGTTGGTGTCTGTAGTCCTTAGGGCATGGGAGGTGCCAGTGTAAGCACTCTGGTTGCTGGGACGATTTTGGTGGGTGCCAGTGTGGGCCCTCTGCAGACTCAGCCGTTAGCATCCTGGGTCCCTGGGCTCAGGTCCTTAGGAAACTTCGCCACAGGACCAAGTACAATTGCCTTGCACAGAGGGTGTGCAGTGCAGGGCACAGGCAGGGTGGGTAACCCATGGAGGGAGAGCCTGCTAGGACAGCAAGACGAACCGGGGTGAGGGTTGGTACCACGCCACCCTGTGGAAAGCAGCAGCATAGGAATAGACATGACCTTTATAGCCTTTGTTGGTTCATTTCTTCTGAGATTCAGCTCAGACCTCCTGGGGGCATTGAGGGAAAGGGAGGAGGGTGATGGGGCCAGGTCGGTGTGGTATGGTCACCCCGTTACCCAGAGCACAGTGCTCACAGCCTCTGCCCTCTCCCCTCTTCAACATCAATGCCTGCAGAGGACCTGGAGGAGACACGAGAACAGAAAGAGAAGAGCCCCCCAGAGCCCCCTGCTGCACCCCAGACACCCCCTAGCACCCCTGTCAAGCTGGAGGAAGGTGAGTGTGTGGGCAGAGCACGGGCCTGTTTGTCTTGCATGACTTCCCTTAGCGCCAGTAAAGACGTGTGCCCATCAGTTGTGCTGGGTGATTAGAGACCAGCGGTGACGGGGGTGGGCATCCTCAGGGACTGGCCCCTCCGTCTTCTGTCTGTGTTGGACCATCTGTCTGTGACGTGGTGTGGTCGGTGCGTCTTGTCCCTTCCTGGTCTGTGTGGAAGCCCCGTGGCTCCGCTCTTCCCTCTGTAACGATGGCCGTGACTGAATGCATAGACTCTCTCCTTGTGCTTTCTCTTCTTGTGACTGCGCTACAAACAGGAGGCGGATGTGCTAAAGAGTACCTGTTCCCATAGTAAGTACCGCCGCCCGCCGCCCCTGCACTGCCTGACCGGGGCTCCCTGTGCTTGCCTCAGCCTCCCGCTTCTCTGTCGTTAACTCAGTTTCGTTTTCTGTTGACTTCTAGCAAAAGTAAAGGACTCCCTCCCCCCTTTTTTTTTTGACCATCCCTCCTTATCTCCGGGTGGCCTTCTGAGGATCTGGGTTCCCTGTATCGTGCACCTTCCTGAGCTCTACTCAGGGAACCCTAGCTCAGAAGCTTGGGGTGGGGGGATGGGGGTCACTATCCTGTTCTCCCTCAGGGCTTCTCCTGACGACTTGGTGGGATTCAGTTCCACTCTGAACAAGGTTCAGACAGGTCGAGTTTGCCACCAGGTGCTGGGGGACTGGATTGTTGGGTTGTTTGACCTGAGGCACAAGAGTGACATTTGGTCAAAGCCAAACAGCCCCCTGAGCACCCCAAGTGGCCTCTGCCCTGGTGCTAACCACAGCATGCTTCGCAGAGTGGATTCTAACCTTTTCTTGGCTCTCTGAGGGAAGGGGGTCTAGTGGGGGTGGGTGAGTGGCCCCAGGAACACGATCCCAGTCTCATCACACCCAGCACTGGGGCTTGGAGACCAGTGCCCTCTGGGGCCACTCCTAACCCTTGCAGTTGGAGCCCTCAGCATAGCTCTATGGGTTCCCTTGATTGTGAAGTACTGACCGACAGGTATTGACAGACAGGTCAGCCATTAAAAGGAAAAGTCTGCAGAGCTGGTCTCCTCCAGGCCCAGGTGGGAATGTGGGAGCTCTTCCTGATCAGTTCCCCCTTGGCTCACCTGTGTGGCCATGTCCTAATTGGAAGAGACTTGTGCCCCATCTCTGCCCCTGTTTATAGGTCTTCTGTCTTTCCTCATACTTGTCTAGCTCAGGCGCTGCGTTTGTGCGCCCGGGTCTTAGCCTGTAGCTTACCTACTGGCTGTCAGGGGGGTGGGGGTGGGGGGGTTGGAGAGACCCAGGGCAGTGGCCCACGTTATACAAGAAACTTCTCTCTCCAGGTTCAGTGCAGAAGGTTGTATGTCAGAGTTTATTGCGGTGAACTCAGGCCTGAGGCCAGCAGTCCATGAGTAGCATAGCTCCAGCAGACAGTGCTTACTGTCCTCATTCTTGTCTTGGTATAAAGATGGTCTCTGGCCCCTGTGATGTGGGGGTGGCACACTTTAACCCCGCCTCTTTCGCCCCCCCACCCCAGAAGTGCCACAGGAGCAGACAGCGGGAGATGACAGCGATGCGGCCACCTTCAAGCCGACTCTCCCTGACCTCTCCCCCGACGAGCCTTCAGAAGCGCTTGGCTTCCCGACATCAGACAAGGAGGAGAACGAGGGTCCCAGGGAAGCCCCCGGCCCTCAGAGCCCCACCAGGTCCCCCACGGCAAGCAGCCCTGAGCCGGCCCCAGGCCAGGTGACTGAAGAGGCCCCCTCCCCAGCTGCTGAGGAGGGGGCTGCCGTGGACCCTGGCAGTGATGGGTCTCCGGGCAAGTCCCCTTCCAAAAAGAAGAAGAAATTCCGTACCCCTTCCTTCCTGAAGAAGAGCAAGAAGAAGAGCGATTCTTGAAGGCCCCCCCACTCCATAACACTGTCATGTCTGAAGCTGCCCAGCCCCAGAACCCCTAATTGTGTCTTGTGCTGTCTTCTTTTGTTATGGAATGCAAAAAGCCAGCCCCCACTCCCACCCCTGTAGCTCAGCCCACCTCCGACGGTGCTGACCTAGGTGTGCACAGCAGCCTGCTCCAGATCCTGCCCTGCGTGGCAGCTTCCGGAGGCTTCACCCCCGCTCTCCTTCCTGTCTGCTAGGCTCCCAGCCACCTCAGGCAGGTATCTCAGTCACCCAGTCTGACGGGCATCCTGCTGGCATCACAGGCTCCTGGAGCTGACTCAGAGACAGCCTCAGCTGCCCAGCCAGGCTGCTTGAAGAGGGGCTGGGCTAGAAATCTCTCCACAGACAGGACTGTCCCATACGTGCAGGGTCTGACAGACCCTCGGCCAGAAAGATTCAGGAACGCATAGTGTCTTACGGGGCCCTAGATTCGTGTCACAGGACAGAGAATAGTCCTTTCTAGAATTTTCTTTTAGCAGATCTGCACCCCCGTCTCCATTCTGACTGTGAACCTGGGCCACATTTTGCTTTAGTTCAGGCCCCAGAGCACCTCTCACCCGTTTTCCTAGAGACGTGTCTGAAGCTCTTCTCACTAACACAGCCTGGATCTGATCACAGCCCACTCAGGTTGGCCCTTGGGCCCACCCCCCTCTCCTATCAGCCCCTATGGAGCCTTGGCGGTGAGCGCTCCCAGACCTCAGACCCTAGGAGGAGGAGAAGGAGGGAACCAGACAGGCCCACCTGCAGGGAGGCAAGGTGTCTGGTCCCGGCTCGGACAGGCCTGGGCTGGCTGCATGGCGCTAATGCTTGGAGCTTCATCACTAACCCTGCAGGGCCCGCCGCCTGATGAGCTGCTCTCCCTTCTCGCCACTATGTCTCCCTCCACCCCCTCCACGGTGGTCACTCTTCCTGTCAGCAGACTCTTCGTCCCCTCCCCCTCCCACATATGCAATGATCTCCTGTCACTTTTGTATCTTTCAATTGTGTGACCTTATGAACTATAGTTGCATATATGGTCACAGACGGGAGGACAGATTGTCCATCTGTCCTTCATTGTCACATTGTTTTACTCACAAATAAACTTCTCTAAGCAGATTCCTTGTCTAAACCTGGGCAGCAATTTTAATGTTTTCTTCAGTTAGTTGTTGCTGGTAAGTACTGTTGAATCAGTTGTGGGTTACCCGAGTAGAAGCTGGTAGGCTTGAACTGTCAACCTCGTGGTTAGGGCCTCTAGGGAAGGTTGTGTCTTGTCTCCTGAAAAGTCCTCCAAAGATTTCGGTCTTGAAGAGATGTTTTCTCTTTGAATTTAGAGACCCCTGCTAGTAAGCCTGGTTGCCCCCCAGCTGAGACCCCGGGAAGGCAAATGCCATCTGATCAGCCTGTGCCCCCATTCCATGGGGGTTTTAACAGTGGGGGGGCTCCAGTGAGGGCAGCCCACAGGGGGGTGGGGCTGCAGCTGAGCTGCACAGAGAAGAAACAAAGGTAGAAAATAGCTGCTTTATTGGGCCCAATAGGAGTGTGCTTTCATTACAAAACGGACAAGAGTCCTCATCTACGGTACAAGTGATGGGACAGGGCAGCCAGGATGCCCCCAGCGGTGGGGGTAGCCAGGCAGGTCCAGCTACTGATCCTTGGGGGGCGCGGGCCTCAGGCTGCGCAGGAGCAGGAAGGGCAGCAGGAAGAGGCCGGCACACGTGGTGAAGCAGACCTGGACCCCAGCCAGCCAGTACACTGTGGAGACAGCGCAGCCTCAGTGCCCACTGCCGGGGACCCTGCTGACTGAGTGGAGCCCACGCAGTGTGATTGTACTCACCCGAGGCGGCCACGATGGGCCCCACTGCCCGGGCCAGGGCGCCCAGGCTCCGCAACGTGCCCATGATGATGCCTTTCTGCCCCACTGAGCCTGTGGACACCAGGTATGTCAGGTGCCAGCCATCCCTGCCAGCTCCGCCCGCACCCACTGTCAGGGAGGGGCCTCACCGTAGCCAGAGACCATGGACGACAGGCAGGGCACCACAACAGCAGCCGCTGGGGGACAGAGGGAAGGGGGAACAGGTGAGGGTGGCCGGGAGATGGCCACCAATCCCCAGGGTATCCCCATCTCTCGCCCCACCTCCCAGCCCCATGGGCCCAGTCACCAAAAGAGTAGAGCAGCATCCCCAGGCCTAGGACGGGCAGCGAGCGCCCCCAGCCGATCAAGAGGAAAGCCGGTACCAGAAGCAGGATGGCCTGGGGACACAGCAGGTCTCAGCCCTGGCACTGCCCACACCCCCGCCCCCGCCTCTGGGAGCCCCCAATACCCATACCCGCTTCACTGCTGCGAGCTCACTGCCGGGGCGGATGCGCCGGCCATAAGCACCCTGAATGGTAGCCATGGTGATACCAATGAAGAAGAACATCTTCCCCTGCTGCAGGCTTTGGGGAGATCGGGGGGCACTGTGAGCGGGCCTGCCAGGGCCAGGGGACACGAACCACTGCCCCGTTGACCCCCAAGGGGTTCCCAAGGGCTCTGCATGGTGGCTGCCCCCACCTGCTGAACTGGAAGCGCTGGTGGGTGAGGAAGCTCAGGGTGTACTCGAGGCCGGAGAAGAGGAAGAGATAGAGGAAGTAGACCAAGCCTAGGCGGTGCAGGTCAGGGAGCCCTAGGGGACAGGTGGGGAGAATGGGGGATCCGAGGCAGCCCACCAACCCGAAGAAGTAGACGGGGTTGGGGAGACAGTGGGGCTGTCAATGGGGACCTGGGGTGGGAAGTGCCTAGGTTGGAGACACCGGGCACCCAGGAGCTTGGAGGGCTAGGGGCTCACTGTCTTGGGCGGGTGGATCCTGGCCACGGGCCACGGCTGAGAAGCGGAACAGGGCCAGAGGGCTGAGCAGGTCCACAGCGGCTCGAAAGCCCGGGGTGACGGAGGATGCCTGGAGGGTATGAGACCCTAGAGCCCTGTCTGGTGGGAGACTGGCTCCCTGCTCTCTGAGCCCCTGGACCTTCCGGCCAGCCCTGGGATCCATGGGGGCCAACCTACCCGCCGCTCTGCGGGCAGTGTCTCTGGCAGGAAGCAGAAGATGAAGAGGAGGTCTGAGGTGGCGAAGAGCAGAGCCAGCCAGGGTGCCGTGTCTACAGGCAGCATGGCGCCCAGCAAGGGGCCCAGTGTGAAGCCCAGCGAGAAGGCTACCCCGAGGACAGCCTGTGGGAGCAGGGTCTCAGTGCACGAGCCTTACCTGGAGGCCTCAGCCCCTTGGCACCATACCAGGAGCGCCAGCTAGCCATCGGCCCCCTGGTGTGCCTGCTCACTTACCATGCCTCGGCTACGGGCCTCCGGGGAACCCAGGTCAGCGACAATGGCCGTGGAAAGACTGACATTCCCCTTGCTGATTCCCCCAATCACCCTGGATGCCAGGAAGGCGGCGAAGCTCCGAGAGGCAGCCCATACAGCATAGGAGATGACTAGACCCACCTGTCAGCCAGGTGGTGACAAGGGACAGGTGAGGTCACCTGAGGCAGGGGGCCCAGAGTGGGGCAGAGAGAACCCGGGCAATGACTCCACCCCGCTCCAGCCACTGCTCTGCACATTCGAGGGCCACTTGTTTCCAGGGCATCCCAGGGTTTAGCCATAGGAGCCAGCATCGTTTGCACACCGCGGAGGTGACGGGTCACTGCAGTCTCCTCCCCTAGCCTGGACTGGCTGCACGCAGGGTCATACCAAGGACAGCAGCATCACCGGGCGCCTCCCTAGGCGGTCTGAGGCAGCGCCTGCGAGGGGGGCAGACAGGAACTGCAAGGCGGAGAAGCCGGAGCCCACCAGACCTGAAAGAAGGGAGGGGGCGGTCACGTTCTGGCCACTGGGGATGGAGGACAGGCATAGAGACCAGCAGACGCGCCCAGAGCAGGACCTGGGGGCAAGGACCTGAGGTCCACGATGCCAGGACTCCAAGATCCCATTCGGGGTCAGGCCGTACCTCCAAACAGAACGTTGTTGTAGCGCTTCTCGGCGGGCACACCGATGGCGGCAGCAAACCAGTCCACCCCGCGCTGCCACGAGCCATAGAGGGGGTCCTGGGGACACAGGGCACGTGATGGGGATGCGCGCGGGCAGTCGCTGATTGACAGGGGTGCAGCGGGCGGAGCGCACCTGGGCACGGCCGTGGGCCTCCAGCAAGCCGGGCAGCAGTGGCAGCAGCAGTGTGAAGGCCAGCAGGTCCAGCAGGAGGCCCAGGAAGACCACCGAGAGCACGCGGCGCTCAGACGCAGGCTGCGGGCGGATCGGGGGCCGTGGCGTGCAGCCTTCGCCCGCGCCCAGTCCCATGGTACCGGCCTGCTGCGGGTGTGGGAACACGTGAGGGCACCCGCTGGACCCTCCCGACCCGACCCGCAGGGTACTACTGTCCGCCTTGCAGCCGGGTGCGGGGACCGTCCGTGAGGAGACCCTGGGCCGCCCCCTGCCCTGGATCGGGGGCCCTGAGTCGCCCTCCCGACCCGGTGTGAGAACCCTGCCCACACAGGACTTGGGGATCCTGGGCCGCTCTCTGCCCGGGCACAAGGCCCCTGAGCTGTCCACCCGACTGGGCTCGGGGACCCTGGCTGCTCCCTGCCCGGGCTCGGGAACCGCACCAGCAGGATGGAAGGAAACTTGCGTTGCGCAAGTAAACGGCCGGCTCAGCGGTCACGGGGCCGGGAAGGGGCATTCAGCCCGCAGCGTCCTCCACGGCCCGGCCCCAACGGGGAAACTGAGGCTGGGTTGGGGACCCCGCCCACACGCGTCCAACTCAGCTCCGTGTCCCCACCGGAGTGGCGGCCCAGCGCCGAGTAACCCCTCCCTTCCTCCTCGCGCGCCCTCGCTGGTCGGCCTCGGCACCCCCGCCCCACCTCTGCGGCCGCGCGCTCGGGCAGACAGACAAACAGATGCGGAACAGTCCGCCAAGCACCCGGGGCGGGGCGATGGCCATGCCCTGACCACGCCCAGACCCGGAAACTGAGGCCGCGACTGGCACCTCCTCTTCCGGCGGCGGTCTGGGCTGAGTTCGCCTGTTAATCCGGTAGGTACCCCGTGGTGGTCTTGTCTCTGTCTCCGACCCTTTTCTGCAGCGCCACATTGTTCCTCCGGGAACCTCTGGGGGCTCAGTGCCCCGCTGTATGTGTGGACTTCCGAAACCTCCATCCCGGCCTGGGGACAGGCAGCACGTCCACCAATGTAGCCTTCAACTGCGGGTGGGGGACCCGCCTGTCCCCTCTCCTTCCCCATCCCCCTTGCCTGCAGCACCAAAATACGAGGAGACTTCAAAAAATTCATGGTAAAATTAAATGAAAAGAATACCATTTTCCCATGTAAACTATCACATAATTCACAATAAAACATTTAAGAAAAAAAAAAAAGTGAATCGACCTAGATGGAGGATATGTCAAACACAATACCTTCTTGAATGTAAAATTGATGTCTGTAAACCTTTACTCAATTAACAATAAAAAGTAAAAAAAAAACAACAAAAAAACACAATTTTTCCGGGGACTTTTTTGAACCCCCTGTACAGGTGAGAGGCTTTATCGTCTGCCTGTCTGGAGGCTGGGAGTCTGCTCCTCCCTTCTGGCTGTTGGCCATTGTTGGCGTTCCTGAGCCTGGTGGGACTGTGGGGTGAGGTGTTGAGCCGCTTTTTCAGGAGAAAGATGAGGCTGTCTGCACCTATAAACCCGGTGGAACAGTTTACTCTGCCCTGTGGGGTCGCCATGAATTCGAGCTGATTCGATCACGGCACGTTCGGCTTCTGGGTTGCTCTTGTACATGCCTGGTGTGGCAGTCCTGGTGTGGTGCTGTGGGTTAATGCGCTGGACCTCAAGGTCGGTTTGAACTGTAAGGTTGTCTGTTCAAGCTCACCAGTCATTCCTTGGAAGCCCTGTTCAGCGTCACCATTGCAGCCACTCCTTGGAAGCCCTGTTCAGGGTCGCCATGGCAGCTACTCCTTGGAACCCCTATACAGGGTGACTACTTTGGAACCGACGGCTAGACATTGCCCCAGCCATGACTGTATTATAAAATTCTGGAGGGATTTCATCCCACCCTATTCCTGGTGACCTCATTTGACTTAACTGATAAAAGAAAACTCCTCTTTCCAGATAGGATGGCATTCACAGGGACAGGGAGTGAGGACACCAACATGTGTTTGGGGAGATGAAATTCAACTCAGTAGGAATGCAGTGGGGGCTGGACTGCATCTTCTGTCTTGTGCTCCGTGTGCAGCCCTGGGACAGATGGTAAGCAGGAAGAACAAAGAACAGACAGAAGGCAGACACAGCTGGTCCCCATGCCAAGCTCATCCATGGCTTTCCCGTCTTGGATTTGAATTTTTTTACTGAAGATGCTGGTGCTCACAGCAAGGGTTCCCTGAATCTGCCCAGGACTCAAGAGTAGCTGGTCAGTCTGGGCACTCAACATGCCAGTGCTTAGTGTCCACCATTCACGCTCCCCTCCCACCTTCTGATACTCTTGCACATTTCTTAGGACGACCCTAACCAGGAACCCTTGGAAGATGACTGGGAAGTGGGGTTCTGCCTCCAGACTGGTTGGTACCCCAGTCCACCACTTACCCCATTGCAGCCCATGCTTACCTGTCAGAGACCAGTGCAGATTCATGCTGTCTGTCCTAACCTTAGCCTGCAGTCTAGGAGGGGAAAGGTCGACAGTTCAGCCCACCTAGCAGTGCGTCAGAGGACAGAGTAAGGTCAAGATTAGCCAGGAGCCTGAAGGAGTTCAGCCTTCAAAGGTGCAACTATTGCCAATAGCAAAGGAGAGTGAAGGAAATCAGACACTGAAAAGGTAGTCCAGAGTCCTAATGACCACAAGAAACTCCGTAACTCAGACCAGAGAAGCTGGTGCTCTGAAAGGAATCACAGTAGAAGGTTCTAGAAATAGTATGGGGAGGGGGATTAGAGTGGGCTGTGGAACACAATTCAAATCCAAGGCAGGAGAGAAGGGCAAATGGAAACAGGAAACAGGGAGGCGGTAGGGAGTGATGTTTCATTACGGGGCTTGCACTAATTATGGGTGAGCAGTTGAACAGAAAACTAATTGCTCCCCAAAGTACACAGTCAAATAGGTAAAATAACAATTATATCTGTATTTTGAAAAAAAAATCTTATGGAATAGTTCCAAACTTGACACATGGGGTTTTCTTGTAAATTATAAACCAACAACAAAATCAGCAAGTTTTTCTTTTGCTTAATGATGTAACTATTTCCATCGAGTTTGTTTCGACCCCAGTCCTGCACCATCCTCAGACATTGCCATGTGTGAGCCCACTGTCAATGAAAGTTCTTTTCATTGACCCTCCACTTTACCAAGCATGATGGCCTTCTCTAGGGACTGGTCCCTCCTGACATGTCCAAAGTACATGTCAGCTTCTAAGGAGCATTCTGGCTGTACTTCTTTCAAGATAGATTTGTTTGTTCTTCATGCAAGCTATGGTGATTTCAATATTCTTCTCCAACCCCATACTTAATCCAAAGACATCAGCTCTTCAGCCTTCCTTAATTCATTGTCTAGCTTCAAGTGCTTGGGGCAAGCACACCTTAGTCCTCAAAATGACATCTTTGCTCTTGAACACTTGAAAGAGGTCTCATGCAGCACATCTGTCCAGTGCAGTCCATCCTTTGATTACTCGATGCAACGTCTTCCGTGGGTGGATTATGGAACCGCGAACGACGAAATTCTTGGCAGCTTTGATTTCTCCATTTATCATGTCTTCCTCTGATCCTCATGCTGTTTTCGTCATAGAAATTCAGCTTCCTGAATTGTTTGCTCAGCATAGACTGAGTAAATAGTGAAGGAACAGATCGCTGACACACCGTTCCTAATGATAAACAACACAGTACTCTCTTGTTTGAACAACTGCCTCTTGGTCTATTTGCCTGAGCACAATTGTTCTATAATTTCCATTCTTTGCAATGTTACCCATAACTTATTATAACCCACATTCAAATGCCTTTGTATATGGTTAGAAACCAGGTGAACTCTTTCTGGTATTCTCTGCTGTCAGCCTGTGGCTCTACCTGATGCTAGCAGTATTCTCACTCACGTTCCAGCCTCTTCTGAATCTGGCTTGAGTTTCTGACAACCACTTTTAAGAAACTCTACTTGCATGTGATATTAACGATGTCTCATCATTTCCATATTCTGTTGGAGCACCTTTTTTCCCCAAATGGACACAAATACACAACTTTTGTTGCTGTAACAGTTTATGAGATAATGCCCCCTAGAGGCTAGGGTCCCTCCTTCAGCCACTCTGTACGATGGTCCTTCTCTTCCAGCCCAGTCATTACCCTCCCCACAAGGGCCCTGGAACTATGAGGCAGGCAGGCTCCCATGTCCCCCAGGCTCATAGCTCATTCCTGGAACAAGGTTCACCTTCCAGGAAATGAGCAGACCACCTCAGCCTCATGCGATCACCCAGGCTCATCTCCCGTTCTTGACCCACATCCGGGAGGGAACAGAGTCCCAAGATAATGTTTACCTGCTTCACTTCTGTAACTGCTTGATTATATGCTCATACATCCTTCCCCGCCATATGTCTGAACCAACCAATCCCAGGTAGCCCCGTGAAGATGTTGGCCCCCGCTAACCAATCCCAAATGAACTCATGTATGCACCCTATTCCCTGTAAAATATCCTCACAGGGAAAATGGGCCTCAGCCTCTGGATATGAATCTGCTGAGCCACATGCTAGCACAATATAACCTTTGTTACAACCCACATGGCATTGGCACCTCCTTCAGAGTGACTACGGTAACACTTAGATCTGTCCAGTGACAGCTGTCACCAAGAACAGGGCACACACGGGCATTGTGAATGCTTTACTCACAGAACGTGGCTCAGAGGGTGGGTTGCACCCCAGGCAGAGAGCAGTCCCCTGTGTCCTGGAAGACCCTCCTTAGCCTTGAGCTGGGCTAGTATTGCCCACAGCAGTCCCTCTCCCAGGCTGGGGTACAGGGTCACAACCTGGCATTTGGGGACTGGCCATTGGGTCTAGTGGTTCTGAGACAAGCCTGTGAGGGGACGGGGTACCCTAAGGGCCACATTGTTGAGATAGCAGAGGAGACTGTGGTTGGAGCCTGGGTCTAAGGCTACCAGGGGCTAGTCCAGGATGGGCACGGCCAGCGCTGCCGAGGCAGGTCCCCCCAGAGCGCAGCACAGAGCTCCCTAGCCCTGCCCCTGCACGGCCGCCCAGCAAGGACAGTGGTGACAACCCAATGAGTAGGCAGATGTCCTTCCCAGTTCAAGTGGAGCAGGGACGGTCCACGCACTGCCAGTCATCCAACCCGGTCAGTTCCCATCCCCTAGCCCCACCTCATCCAGCACCCTGGTATCCAGTGAAGATTAGAAGGCCCCAGGCCCAAATGTCGAAGTTAACAGAGACAGGTTCATCAGACGGCTGTGGGGGGCTGCCCCTTGGGCTGAGGCAGGGCCATGTGGCTCGCATACGGCACCACCTCGTCACCTCTGGAACTTCCTCCTCTTCAGAGCCTTCCACTCGCCCTCCTGTGTGGCCAGGCTGTTGAAGAGCTGCTTCACTTTCCGTTTCCGTTCTGCGTCCCTGGAGGCCCAGCGCCGAGACCGGAAGGGTTAGTGTGTGGACCCTCTCCAGCCGGAAGCCCAGCAGCCCCGCCCCTGCCGACCCGCATGCGCACTCACCGCTCCATGGTCTCGGACAGCTGCATCCGCGCCAGGAACTGGTTGTCCTTGCGGATCTCACGCACGGCGCCTTTGAACTCGCGCTTGTGCTTGTGGATCAGCCGCCGGCGCTCCTGCTCCTCCTTCGTACTGCCCTGCTTCCGGCCAAACTCCAGGCTGTGGGAAAGCCGGCCCCAGGGTCAGGGTGCCCGGAGGGGGATCAGGAGGGGAGCCCCTCCCAGCTACTCACACTTTGACCAGCCTCGGGGTGAAGAGCTTCAGGGGGACGGGTTTGCTCTTCTCACAGACCAGCGGCCGCCATCGCTGCTCCTGGCTCTGCAACTTGTTCACAAGGCGCTGACCCAGCTCCTAAGTGTGAGGGGCACACGTGATGACCGGGCCCCCCCACCGGGGCAGAGACCCCCGTAGGCAGAGCCTCCTTCCTCCCACAGCTCTTGCACCACTTCCTGTTTAACCACTGGGTCTCCAGCAGCCTGGTTTCCTAATGGGCTCTGGCCAGCCTTGCCCCAGGGGCTCCATTTGCACTGACTGTCCCAGTGTGGCTCCTTTCTGGCAGCCCACACGGACCCTGCAGGCTGGGAGAGGTGACATGGCTGGGGAACGATGGCCCGTCAGCCTCTGCACAGCCTCCTATTCAAGAGGCGACTGTTTTCCTTCATCCCAGTAGCACGACGGCAAAGCTCACTGTCCAAGTTCCACTGCCCATCCACGTCAAGCACTCTGCAGAGGCGGGCCTCCGGTTTCCCCTCAGGGACAGGGGGCTCACCTGGAGCTCCTGAGGGAGGCCGAGGTCCAGGTGTTCGGCCAGCACCGTCCGCAGGGGTTGTACGATGTGGTGGAAGGCGGGCAGGGAGCCATACAGCTGCACACAGCGCTCCACCAGGGCCAAACACACGGCCAAGCAGGAGAGCCTGAGGTGGGGTGAGAAGGCCAGGCTGTTCCCTCCCGGCTCTCAACCACGCACAGGAACCCGGGGACCACCGGGCTGGGGGCCGGGGGCCAGACTGCAGCTCAGCCCGCAGCACCTGGCCTGAAAGGAATTGGCACCTTGTGTCCCCAGCCTGGAGGGTAACATTATTTCCAGTTCCAGAAGTTTGTGAAAACCTGGAACTGAGAGGATCGTTCTCAAAACTTTGTGAAGCCCACTTGTAACGCGTAATTTTGGAAATCTGTCCCCTTGTCTCACCCTGGAAAGAATGGCTGTTCCTCCACAGAGTGGCTCTCAGCCCAGTAGGAATCAAAGGGTCTCAGGCCCCCTGAGCTAGCATCAGGGAGACTGCCAGCAGCAAGCCACAGTGCATCCCGGCTGGCTCCTGCCTCTCAAGCCACATGGCCTCACCTGACGTGGTTGGTCTCTGTCTCCGTCTGGCCTTTCAGTCCGTTTGCCCAGTGCAGGGGGAGGCTTCTCCTCTGCCATGTGGCCACGTCCTCTCTGTTAGAGACCAGGAGCAGTTCCGAGCCCTTCCCGAGAGCTCTGAAAGGGTGCACCAGGGCGTAACCTGAACAGGGACGGGGCCGTGAATGCTGGCTCTCCAGCGTTTCCAGTTTCCATGTTGTAACAGACATGGGTTCGGTACTGTGTCCTGGGGCTGCGCTAGGAACACCACAGGCTGATTTTATAGGGTCCCAGCCAGGCTAGGCACTGGCTGTACCTGCTGAGTGAGCCCCAGTCCCGCAGGTGAAGGTGGACAGGGAAGCCGTGCTGTGGGGCAGGACAGAGGTCTGGCCTCCCCTGCAGCCCCACAGGGAACTTGCAACATCTAAACGAGGCGAGGAGGCCACCTGTACCCCAGGTGCCTCTAATCCACCACCTGACTACACGCTCGTCCCCACCCGCCCAGCACTCCATGACCCAACACCAGGGGGCACCCAGTGCCTATGGGACAGGTACAGTCTGGGGTGGGGGTGAGAAACCCACAGGAACAGAGACCACCCACTCTGCGGGGAAGGAGAGGCTGCGGGGAGTCAGGAGGAAGCCCGCTCCTCCCCAAGCCGCCAATGCCGTAAACCCTCTGGAAAGCAGTGCCGTCACTGGAGACACAAGAGCCACAGATAGAACTTGAAAATGTTCTTGTGGGCACATTGTTAAACAGAGCGAAGAGAGGCTGATCAATCTTAATGAACACACTTCATTTCAAGTAACAAACAGCTTCACCATGTAGTCAAAGTGAAAAAATGATTGAGGTGAAGTACACGGAAACTTCAAAAAGTTCATGGTAGGTTGGAAATGCAAAGGGAGACGTTTTGTAACAAGGAAGGGAGTGATTAATTCTCCAGGATAGGAGCAGAGGTCTCTGGGACCATCAACCGAGAAGAGCAGGGAGCGGGACCCTACCCAGAAAGACAGAGATGCCTGAGATAGAGACAGAGATGATGACGTGGAGTGATGAAGCGGCTGGGGACTTTGGACCCAGAGAAGGAAAGGGACTGTGGGCCGAAAACTGGGGGGAGGAAGGGGAAGTGTAGGGGGCGGATTTCTAGGATATACCCTTTGGTTGGTTGATGATGCATGGAGGGGATTGGAACCATGGCAGTGAGATGATATACGATGGAATGAATGTAAAACTAAAGTTCTCCCATGTAAACTATCATATAATTCATAATAAAACATTAAAAAAAAAAAGTTCAAAGTAAAATGAAATATAAAGCTAATGGAGTTTTTCCATGAAAAATCTGAAGCCCCCTGGTGAATATCTCTGTCCTGAGTCTAGGAGGCATCTAGGGTGTAAAGTCTTGGGACTGGCCACAGTGTCCACGTGTCTATTGGCTGTGGTCCTGGACAGCAGAGATATGACCCCAACGTTTCCAAAAGTGGGTGTCTGCACATATCCACATAGGGCTAAGAGAGGTTACTCGGGATGGAGCCTTGCTGGCACAGTGGTGAAAGTGCTCAGCTGCTGCAGTCTGTGGTTCAAACCCACCAGCTGCACCACCGCACCCTGTCTCACAGGGACTCTAGGAGTCTCACTCAAGTCAGTGGCAACCGGTGTTTGGGAGTCTGGACGGTGAAGCTTGAGATTTGCCCGCAGCTCCACACGTGCCACGGCGGCTGTGGTTAGTCTAAGAAGTCGGCTGCGTTTGCCAAAGTTCCCGTGGCAAACTCACCCAGCGTCGGTCTGTTGGGAGCTGCGATGTGGAGGATCCCGAGCAGGAAGTTAATGAGCTCGGGCACGAACCTCTGGGACAGAGACACATACTCCAGGAAGAGGCAGCACACGAACAGCCCCTTGATCACGTCCTGCAGCGATAGCACGGGGCACTGCGGGTGGACGAGAGGAGCGTCTGCAGCGGGCACACAGGCTGCCCACTCCCGGCTGAGACCCCAAAGCTGACTGGACGCCTTCGGTGCTCGCCTCAAAGGCTGTGTACTCCAGACCCCCCACCCCCCAGCACAATCTCCATATACCCCAACAGGCCCCACCTGGGGCTGAGCAGGTGTCTGCCGCCCACCCCACCGCTGCTAGTGCCTGACCTTGGTGAGCAGCTGGCTCATGCACACCAGTGCAGGGGTCACCACCGGGTGCCAGAAGTCAGAGGTGGGAAACAGCAGCCCCACGATCTTCAGATAAATGAGCTGGAGGCGGAAGAGGAAGCAAATGATGCCGCCCTGAAAGAGGGCCCAACAGCAGGGCGCCCTGCACCCCAATACACGAGTGCACATGCAGGGCCAGGCTCTCGGTGGGGGCTTTCTCCAGTGGAGCCATAACTGGAAGCATGCCATTGTGGCACCCCCCATGGGCCCTGAGTGAGGGAGGACGGGGGTCATCTAGTGGCCTGAGGTCCTTTCAGCCTCACCTCTGCTCAGGCCTGTGAGCAGCAGGAAGAAACCATCCCTTCCCTCCTCTGGGACAGGCACAACCCACAGCCGGCACTGGCCCTCGGACGGCTCCCCAGCCCTGCAGGGTCTTAGAACCTGGCCCTGAACACCAGGGCCTGGTTACTTCTGTCCACCACACTTGGGAAACATGGCACATGCCAGGAGCCGACCACAGACCTACTGGGGCCTCCTCCTGACCATCGACTGCGGAGGGAGGGTGCAAGTGAGGCTCAGGAAGCACACTGTCCCCCACACCTCAGAGCACGAGGGCAGACCCGCAACAAGTACCCACTGCCCCAAGGCCTTTGGGCTGCACAAGTCAGAAAGCGAGCAGCGACTCAGCACAGTGAGCGTGGGCTACGAATCCTCATCTGTTCACAGACCAGAAAGGAGGCTCAGATGACTGAGCAGCCCCCCTGTGGAGCCCAGCCTACAGCCCACTGCTCACCACGTCCAGGCCTGGGAAGGTGGCACGGCCCTTGGCCTCCAGCTTCTCCTCCATGTCGTGCATGGCGTCGCGGAGAACGAACCTCATGGTGTCGCACGCAGACTCAGGAAACAGCTGGCAGAGTTTATACAGCTGCCTGTCATAGAAACCGTCAGGAGCAGTCTCCAGATCCATCCCCCATGGCCTGGAACTGGGCCATAGGAACACCATAACCGGGGCAGCGCCATCCCTGCCTCTAGGAACCAGGGTCTAGTACCACCTGCCAGGCGCTGCCCCCAGTGACCCTCCCACCCAGGGCTGGGAATCCATCGCCCCTCCCAGTGGGAATGCTGCCCCCAGGACAGGAGTCAGGGTGCTCTGGGCTCCTGATTTTTCTAAGCTGCTGCGCCGTGACGTTCAGAAGGCCGCCCCCATGCAGTGGAGGGGCACATGCCGTGGAGGGACCTGCCTCCCCACGCCACTCTCCTGCACCCACACGTGACCCCCTCTGGTTCCACTGAGGTGTGGATCTGGGGACTGTTTCCTGGGGCAAGTACCGCTGCTATCTGCTACCTCCTGAACCCCAACTCAGGAAGCAAAAGTAAACCAGCCACCAAACACTGCAAACAGAGCTGAGGACACGGCTGTTTTCTAGCTGGTGTTCTGGGGTTTTATAATAACTCTTAGTTTCCCCCTCTGTGATCACCACACGTGATCAGCTCCGCGTGGCTACTACCACCAAGGTTGCCACAGTGCCCCCACTACGGGCCTTCAGCACACAGCACGCATTTATGGCGCTAAGTTGGGCAAAAGAGCACTGGTGGTGCTGTGGGTTAAGCACTGGGCTGCGGACTGCAAGGTTGGTGGTTCAAACTCACCAGCCACTCAAGGACAAAGATGTCCAACATGGCCCCACCTCCAGACAGCCATCACTGTCACTTACACAATCAACTTGTCGATCACCCCGAGGTCGGGCGGGTCATCCGCAGCCAAATCCCCAATGTAGTCCAAGAGGAAACCAAACAGTTTCTGTGGAAATGAGAACCAGGAAGTGGAGTGAGGTGGAGAGCGCTACGTCTAGTCTGCTGACGGGTGTCTTTGACGCCCGGCACCCTTACCCACGGAAAAACCAAACACTGCCCTGTCTGGTACCATCCACACAATGTTAACTGTGTCTGTGTCCATCCTCCTAGCCCCGGCAGGCCAGCTCATGAGGGGGAGTCCTCATTCCCAGTGACTCGCCACCCTGCACTTACCGTGATGCCCTGCTCTAGAAATACAGAGCAAGAAGAACATTACTGATGACCCCAAACCCACCGCACAGCCAGTCTGCCCTGGCACGGGGCACACATGGATTTCTGCTGCTACCAGGCTGGCGCTGTGGGGGCAGCTGTGATGTGGAGGGGACAGGTCAGCCCACCCAGCAGAGGCTCACAGATCAAGTCTGTGGAGGGACCGATGGCTGCTGTGAACAGAGAGCCGTCAGCAGCCACTGTCCTCGGCGAGGAGCCCTCTGTCGGTGAGGAGAGAAGTGCGCCGTGGTACCACACAGCCTCTCGGGACCCAGCAGTACTCTGAACGCTAGCTGATGGCAGACTTGATGGAGATATCTGTGTAGCTCCTACTCGTTCCTGCTTACTCTAACCTCAGGAGGGCTGGGGTGGCACTGGGGGCTAATGTGTCTGACTGACTGCAAAGCCGTTTGAATGGCAACGTCGGTGGTTCAAGCTCATCAGCTGTTCTTTGGAAACCCTATGCAGGGTCACTATAGGTCGGAATCAATTTGATGGCACTTAACAACAACAACAAATCTAACCTCACAGCGATTCGTAGGTATTCTCTACTGCTCACGTTACGTCACGGGGACCCCGGGTAGTCTCTACTGCTCACGTTACGTCATGGGGACCCCGGGTATTCTCTACTGCTCACGTTATCTCACGGGGACCCCGGGTATTCTCTACTGCTCACGTTACACGTCACGGGGACCCCGGGTATTCTCTACTGCTCACGTTA